CAAATCCAACAGTTGATAATGAACAACCTGATGAATTTCCAGCTATATTTGGTTGTTATAAAGGTGAATGTCGTACTGATATTGGTTGGTTAACTGGTCAAACAGAAATTCAACTTCGTTTTCATTCAAATGCTTTGCAATTATGGTCATCGAAATTACGTAATAGTAAAATATCATTAAAAGTTTCACCTATTGGTATGTTATTCTAATTTTATGTTTTTTTTTTTTTGAAATAAATTTTAACAGAAAAACGATATTTTTGGTTGATTTAGATTTAAATTACCAACAAGAAAATGAAGAAATTTCATCAGATTCACCTAGTCAAATATATGCACCAACGTCAAAAGTATTTATACAATCCGCTATATTACGTTTATCTGGTTGTGAAGCTAATATTCAAAGTGATTATGGTGCTATTTTGGAAAAAGATGATTATATGATTGTTAAAATTCAAACATTTGAACCAGAAAATGTTGCCTATCACATTGATTTTTATCTTGTTGATGAAATAACAACATTAAGAAAACATATTGGTTTTGCATATGTTTTACCCGTACATTCAAATCTTGAATTAGTAGATAATAAGCATCTTAATCGTATTGTACCTATTATTGGACTTAAACATAATCCGTTCGTATTGTTATTAAAACAAAAAAGAAAACATTAAACATTTCGTTTTTGTTTCTTAAATTTTAGTATTGGTCAAATAAAAATCGATGTTTTATTAATAACACCATTAGAAGGTGTTCAACAAAAATTTCTTGTTACACCATCAAAATATTGGCGTCAAGGTCGACGACCAGTTAATGTTGGTCATCGAGGTTTAGGTAAAAGAATATTATCTATTTGTTGAAATTATTCAAGTGATTCTAGTTTTCATTCAAATTCATTAATATGTGTTCAAAATATGAAAGTCTCGAACAACAAATTCCATTGCAATCTAAATATTCGTGTCTCATACGAGATTATTTTCTTTTTGTTTTGATCACATATCGTCGTTTTCTATCGCTTATTAATGACAAGCTGTCAACCTACCCATAGGCGAAAATCACGCAACTCAAAAATAGAACATGAGCGGGCAAGCAGTTGTAATAAGTATATGCAATTATTTCCGGTCGTTCATGTATAATATATTTCACTATTTAAAAAAAAAAAAGAAGGGCTATAGCAGAGATAGAATCGGTCTGAAATTTGTACTCGTAACAGTTCCATCTCCGGACGGTAGTATTCATATGTACCACTCGTCCTAAAAAGGTTAAAACGATTGATCAATTAATAAACTTAGTTTTTTTGTTTTAATTAGGTAAAACAAATACTGAACATATTCCGTGTAAAGCTCAATCAACATTATCAAATGATTCAAATAAACAGCGTCCTGTGGATACTGTAGCACCAATACTTCCACCAACAACCCGACCTGTTCAAACAAAATTTGTTAGAGAAAATACATTAGCTTCATTTAAAGGTGCTTTTCAACTTGGTTTTGATTTTGTTGAATTTGATGTACAATTATCAAAAGATAAAATACCTGTTGTTTATCATGATTTTCAAGTTGCTATTACACTTAAACGTAAAGGACAAGAAGCAGAATTATTTGTTGTACCTGTTAAAGATTTAACATTACCACAATTACAATCATTAAAAATATATCATGCAAGTAAAACTGATGTAACAAAAGTTGATGAAGAATTTGATGATGATGATCAAACAACTATAAATAATAATATAAATTTAGTAGGAACATCTCTTTCATCAAATAATATTGATAATCAACAAATAATATCAACAAATCAATTAAAACAACTACAACAAGATGATAAAAAATTTCTTTCATTATTTCCAACATTACAAGAACTTTTTGAAACACTTGATCCACATCTTGGATTTAATGTTGAAATAAAATATGCTATGGAATATCGACAAGGTGGAAGCGAACAAAATCATTATTTTGAACGCAATGAATATATTGATTATATTCTTCGATGCCTTATTACATTTGGTAAATAGAAAACAAAGAGAGAAGATTTCCCTTTTTTTTTATATACTGTGCGAAGCATAGAATTCATATAGTTCTGTTTCATGGTTCTCGGTGACTTTCAAAAGTGGAAGGGATTAACGTACCCAGCTCCTCATTTATCGAGACCCATGTTCCGTTTGCTTCCAAATAGTGCTCCCAAAAGACAAAGATTTGTGGATTTTGTTGCTTTTTTTTGCGTTTCGAGATAATCAAATAAAAATTTAACCGTCAGCCTATTTGATAAGCTGGTTGTATCCATTAGAACCGTTAGGGCTAGAGATGTGCGGAACCAAGGTTTTTTGATCCCAGTTTCGGTCCTGATGAATAGAACCGAGATTAAAATCCTTCTATCACATCTTTATTAAGTACAGTTGATCATAAATATTATTGTACTATGCCTAATTTTCAAGTTCTTTTACGTTTTGATCAATTGATGATTGATCGAAGTGTATATTTTTCGAGTTTTTGTTTACAGCGACCGGGAAGAAATTCATTTCTGTAAATTATAAATATCTTTCCAGGAAACAATTTGTATTATTAATTGTAGAAACGATTATTTATGAAGTATCAATTTTTATCGATAATTAGCATTCAAAACTTCGTAGGAGATTTTGTAGTCGAATACCTATCTAATTATTCTTATTTTTCTTTAGCTGGTAAACGTGTTATACTCTTATCAACATTTGATCCCGATTGTGCTTCAATGCTTCGTCTTAAACAAACATTATTTCCAGTATTATTTTTAACACAAGGTGATAAAGGTGATTGGCCACAATTTTTAGATATTCGAACATGGTCGATTGATATTGGTCTATGTTTTATTGTTGCTGAACATTTATCAGGTTTAGCTGCACCGGCACTTGATATTCTTTCAAATAAAGATTTTGTGAAACATGTTAAAAATAATGGAAAATTATTATTTATTTGGGGCGATGAAGCAAGTAAGATTTCATTGAACAAAAATAAGCATATATGTTTTAATTATTTAAATTTAGGTGATAAAGATGTATCAAAGTGTTTATTAGAATTACGTGTTGATGGTTTAATATTTGATCATGTTGCTGAATTTAAAGAAGAACATTCAACAACAGAAAATCTCTTTATTTGTACGTATTTTGTTTTTGTTTTTAAATTGAAAAGGAAGATTGTTTTCTTTTTTAAATTTTAGCGGAAGAACGTGAAGAATTAGAAGTGATTAATAATTTTCGTCAAAAACAGCTTGAATTACAACATCATCAATTATTACAAGAACTTGAACGATTAAAAGCTGCACGAGAAGCAACAGTTTCATCAATATCAGTAATAAATACATCATCATCATCATCATCATCATCAAATCAACTTTCGAAAGTCTCAACAAATTTAGGACAAGATCAATCATCAATTACAGATTCAAATTTTAAACACGTTATGTGACTAGATAATATTCGTCAATATCAAGAAATATTTTTCATCTCTATACTTTATGTTTTCTTAGTGATAATCTCTTTTGTTTCTTCTTTTTTTCGTATTTGAATTTCTCATTTAATCCTATAGTCTTCTTTTTCTTCTTCAGTTTTTTCTCTTGCTATTTCAAAAAGAAAACATAAAAACCAACCATCCTACTATTGTGATTTACTAATTATTATATATACATATATATGAATGGAACATAAACAAACAATAGGCAATATGACATTTACTCAAATCCAATAAACAATATTACTTTATTTTTAATTATAGATTATATCTATGGTTATACGTATTATTAATAGTTTATTAGCAGTTTTAACTCGACCATATATTTATATACAAAAACATGTTCTTTTTACATTTCAATCATATTTACCAATACATTTTGATGAAAAATCCTGGTATATTTTATTTGGTTTTATGACATTTTTGGCATTTATTATTGCTTATGTACTTAGTCGATATATAACATTACAAGATGCTGATGATGATCCTATCTATCAACGTGCAAAATTTTATTCAATTCAAAGAAAACATCGAAAAATGACTTGAATAAGAATAGATCTGAAGAAAAAAGTTTTTCTTTCTTTAGTCATTTAAAAAGAAATAACCTAGGCAATATTTGTAAATAAAAGAAATTAATAATAAAAGAAAAGAAAATTTTGTGAATTGTCAGGAATATTAATAATAACTGTCATTTTTAGTCACATGTATCAATTATATATTAGCTGAAAGCAACAATGCATGCGTCACATTATACTTTGATGTTATTTTTGTTTTTCATATCGATGTAGAATTTACTGGTGTGTGCAAGGGCGTATTTAGAGAATGCTCTCTCAGTTTGAAGGTAACTTTCAATAGACGGCTGAAAAACGCTGTTTTTTTTATACAAATGAGAATAGAATGTTTATAAATAGCTTTTTGAATTTAAGTTAAACAGAAAGTAATCAAATTGCTACTTTTCATTTTCTGTGTTCGAAATAGGGCTACTTTAATTAATGAATCATTTATAATAATTAATGTTTTTCTGTAATACAGCTTTGTGTGTAGGCAGCAGATTCTGAATCTCTGATTGTTTGCAATGTGTGTTATATTAAACTGTACAGAAAAGAGTTCTTTATGTGTATCAATAAATTATAATTGAGGGATCGTTATAAATCAAAGAAATGCAAGAAAATATATTATATATTTGAAACAATTATTTTAATGAGTTTCTATAAAAAAAAAGATTCTATTTATAAATTGCAAAATTTCAAATACTCATCTGTTAAAGAGTTATTTTAGTTTGCAACATGTTGGTCTTCTTAAACCATTAAGTCATAAGAAATTATCACGTCTTGTAATTCGTTTTATTCAAATTGAATTTGACTTATTATCAACTATTAATTGACTTTAGAAGATGTCATTAACATCGTATATTAAACAAGAAACAAATTAACAGTTTAGAAAAAAGTGGTGTATTTATTTTATCATTTTTTTATCACTTTTTAGTTTTACATAATAAAAAGGCGCATACATATTAAATAAATGAATGCTTCAAACAGATACTCAAACTCGTTTATATTGTGTTCATTATATACCAGCAAATATTGATTGTTCGGATTGTCGTTCAACCGAGAAGGACTATAAAAATCGACCACTCTATGCTCCTTTATATGTTCCTCTACCGAAGTTACCTACGGTACTTGATAATTCACAATTGAAATTACCTAATGCATTCTATGTACCATTCAATGAAAATCCGAATAATCAAAAACCAAAAAACAATTCTTCAAATTATTTGTTATCAGATGATTGTGTTGAAATAAATACAAAGAATGGTATTGTTCGTGTACCTCGATCAACATTTGTTCAATATTCTTGTTTAAATGAATCTAATAAATCTAATAATCAATTATCAACAAAAAATTCTACATGTAATTCACAACAAATCTTTCCTGGTGATTTTCAAAAACATGCACATCGATTTACACGTAGTTTTAGTTGGAAAACTAAACCAGAAGAACCACCATTTGCACAAATGCAACCACTACCAAAACTTATTAAACGACCAGGTTATGTAGAAATATGTTGTAAAAGTTAGTTTTTAATAATAAAATAAAATTTTCTCTCATGATTTAATAAATATAATTTCAGATATTTGTTGGCCAACACATCAACTTTGTTTATGTTGTACACGAAATGTTGCTGAAAGTTGTCGTAAATGGTCGAAATCAACAGGAGAATATGATTATATTGATGCATGTTGGTCATCGTGTGCATTATGTTCAGATGATGCATATAAAATACTTAATACACCTATTGTTTATAATGAGAAAATTATTGATCCAGAACTGTTATTACCACTCGATGCTGAACTACTCTATTATTCAATACAATCAGCAAAACGTCAACAAGCAAAACAACAAAACTTTCAAACAGAATCCATATTTACACAACAACAATCACAAACATTAGAAAATCAACAAGATAATATAGTACCATTTTCTACTGATAAGAAGGATTCAAAAGAGTTGCCACCAGCAGCACCACAAAATCCAGAGAGTATAATAAAATCTGAAATATCCAATATACCATTGCAAGAACAACAAGCAGTTATACCATTGCCAACAATAACAAAGACTTTAGATAAATCAGAAGAACCGCAAAAAATTAAGCCTTCAAAATCAGTTAGAACTAAAAAATCATCACAATCCACTCGAAAGAAGAATTATAGAAAAAAACCTACGAAAAAATCTAACCGATCACGAAGTTCTTCTAAAAAAGGATCAAAAAGTCGTTTGAAAAGAAAATCAAGATCAAAAACTTAATTAATGTTCATTTAAAATTTTCGATAACTAAAATCAGATGCAACAGTTTGATAAATAAATACAAGATCATGTCTTCTCTGACTAACTGAGCATGCAAGTTAGTGAATGAACCTGTTTCATATATCTAATTAATTCAATTGAAAAGCAGCGATTTTAAGAGCAATACAAAAAATGTCAATCATTTTAGAAAATACTTACAACATAAAAATGACAAGAATCTTTTTAATCAACTTTATAATCAATTATCAATGCTAATACAATTGTCTACTTAGTGCCATCTGAACAGAAAATCTAACATTTCATTAGAGAACTCTGTGTACTTCAAAGATAGATTTTCTAGAAATTCAAAAGTATGATCAGAGATTATGTATGTACCTACTTGCAATGATGTTATAATACACTGCAAAAGTATCGTAGACTATAATAATAATACATGAGACTGTGTGTTCATCTGGCACATATTGTTTCTCTTTTTAGATTAAAATTCTTTTGTTGTTAAAGAACATGTCGAAACAATTAACGTATTTTGACCTTGTCGGTATTTTATTTCTTATATTTACTCAGACTATTCTTTTGTAAGCTGAAAAGAAATTGATTCTATACATGTTACTTGTTGCGTTACTCTGGACATAAATGAAATAATTAAACTTAATTCATTTGAATGCACATGTGTAATTTCAATATTGAATATAGTCACGGGTGTCTAGAGACAAGAACTATGTAACAGAAAATTCTTTTCGATCCTCTTGCAGTTCCATAATTGCCAAAATATGAAAAAAAAAACAAGATATTATTCATGATATTTTTTTCTGTTTTCGTATCTATATCAATGAAGAAATGTGTGAAGATGTAATGTTTGGATGTGCAAACAATGGCAGAAAATGCATCACTCTAACTAATAACAATTGCGAAACTGAGAAAATTGATTGTCTATTCACAATTTTCCCTAGGAATTATCATAGTTCTATTGATAGTTCCTCTCAACAGCTTAGTAATGTCTATTTCTTAGTTTTCTGGTTGTTGCTACGAAGAATACTTGAAAAGATGGCTGAAAACAAGCATTTCTAAAACTGCAATTAACAAATTACTTCTTTTTTCCTAGTGACAAATATTGCAATAAATTTAAATTCTTTCTATAACGTCTTATTTCCTATAGACATGTATTCTATACAAAGATATGACCTTAAGAGAAATTAATGAAGAGAATAATATTTGGTTGAAAAATGTTGAAAATCTTAAATCTATCAAGACATTTCGACAGATATATATGTTAAGAATGATAAACTGATATTTTATTTGACGTCTGTTTTTTTTTAATGCAAATGAAAGCAATACATAATATTATTTTCATCATGCACATGTAGGTTTTCTCATAGTTCATGAAAAATAATTTACTAGAAGATCGTAGCACTCATTTAAGATTATCATAAAGTAGAATAAAGAATCAAAAATTCTATAAAAATGAACTCATGTTGAAAGCCTTCATCTTATTCCCTAATGCATTTCAGTCTTGTTTGTTTTTCTGACTGATTATCATACTCATATTAATATAATGGTAAACAAAATAAAAACACTACAATTTTTACAAAATATGATTTAACTAATTCATTGTATAATATTTGACAAGTTCTTTTTTTTTATTTTCTACGAAAATAATTTACATTTGTTTAATAATAACATTAAAAATTTAAACATTCAACTAAGTTTTTTGTCATCAACATATACTTTACATTATAATATATATTTAGTAATAATATAGAGTTAACAATAAACCAATAGTAATAATTGATAATGATGATTTTAGATTTCGTGATTTATTACAACCATCAAATGCACAAAGTGACATAAAACCTTGTAAACGTATAGAACCACTCCAATCTTGAAAACCTTTTAATCGAAAATTGCCTGATGTTTCTAATAATTTTGTTGATTCCATAATATTTTCAACAACACATGTACGATAATAAATAACAGTATTTATATAAGAAGCATTGGCATCACCATCAACGCTCAATATACGACCACTAATTTTTACACAAAATCGAGCCGGAAATGTTCCATTTTTGCCTACAGCCGTTGCCTGAATATATATAAATTGAAGATTCTTTTACTATTCGATTTACAAGTCAATTAATTTTTATTCTCAAGTGTCCTATGCCCTCATCATTTATAACTAACTCCACTATCGGTAATCGAATTATTCAATTTGTGCTCGAAGAGGAAAATACAGCAGACAAAAATTAATTACTTTTGACATAAACATCAGCAAGGCTTTTTTTTACATGTATGAAAAATTATGATATAAATAAAAGGAAAAAAAAACAAGCAATCATCATCATATTTACTTGACAATTTATTTGAACTGGATTAATTAATGATGAAAATGGATCTCGACAACCATCGTCATTTGGATTTGTTGTCATACATTTATAACATGCTAAACCTTGACTACATATTGGTTCAATTAATACAAATATATATAATATTAATACACTAAATTGTTCCCAATATTGGATATTTGATAGCATTGTATAATCGTCTAAATAAAACGTCTATATTAACATGCAAGAAAAATTAATTTTGATAGACAATTTTTCCAAATCAATAAATAACAATAGTTACCTTTTTTGGTTCTATTTCTTGCTCGACTGCTTACTACAATGTTATATGTGCCACTCTAAGCGGTGGTAAATTTCTTTTTTGAAAAATAACAGCAGTTGCGTTTCCCCTTTCTCGTGCTCAACGAGTCATCATCATCAACAACATCTTTTTCTTTTCTTTCTCGTTTTGCTATGTGTTTCTCAATACTGAAAAGTTCTTCGTCGTCGTTGCTCTATTTCTTCTTTTTCTGTAAGTTTCTGCTTGATGAAGACTTCGTTTTTTTTTCTACTCTCAGTATCCTCTACATCTCTTCCCCCTTTTCTCTCTCTCTCTCTCTCTCTCTCTTATCAACTGCACTCATGTAGAAAAATTGAGTCATTGATTAGACACTAGCTCTCTATAACATAGAGAGAATGAGAAAAGTACTTCTTACATTTTTTTCTCTATTTTTCATAATGAAACGACGAGGCGTTGCTAACATGATTCTATCGAGTAGTTCTGACTGAACTTTGTTTCTTGTCTTATTTCTCTTTTTCATTCGGTTTTCTCTCTCTCTCGACTCAATTACACATTACAGAGTATGTTGTATTGATGCAAAGAAATTGAACAGAACAGAGTTGAGGTAGAAGAAATCAGCTTAGCTATTCTAATGCGAATGTTTTTTTTTATATTGAACATTCATGCTATCCTTTTTCTTTTATAATTAACAGCGAATTAGTTGTCTCACTTTGCTATTCTCAAATGTTATCTTAGTGAATCTAAAATTCACAGAAATGACTGCTTTAACAGAAAGAAAGGATGATCGTGTTCAGAAAAACGTGTCTTAGAACTCATTAGAGAGGTAGTATCGAATAATTTTTGGACTTTTTCTGGTGAGAAAAAGAAGATTGCCTTCAGCCTTTCAATCCGTCACTATAATGCTATTCTTGTACACTTGAGATTGCTTTAAAAAGGTCACGTTCAATTAACCAGAAAAAAAAAGAAATAAGATATGATAGAACAATGTGTTTTAGCAATCAGTCGATGACATATCTGTAAATTTTGAATAGCATATAAGAATAATCATTTTTTGTTTTGTTTTTAGTTTTGTCATTTCCCAATAGAATTTATTGTTCGAAGATTTACTGATCTCATTTTGAGAAAATATGTGGTCGACTAAATCTAACCTAAGGAAAAAAAAGTAATTTTATGATCGATCTCAAAACTGGCGGCTTCAGTTCCGGAGCTAGCAAACTGTTTCCGGTTCCTTTTTCTTTCCTTCAATTTTCTTCTTGCAAACAAATGATTGACATGCATTTCTCTTACATAGCTATAAATATTGACTATCCAATATTAATTTTAAAAACTAAACTTGTACATTATCAATATTTGAATTATACTAACAATTTTACTTATCTCCTATCCATATCTATTAATAGAATCAATTCATTTATAATATTTTAAACGTTATCTTTCCTCATTTAAGAATGTTTTGTTTTAATTTGACAAAAAAAACAGTGGATTAACTGATAACATTTTTTTCTTTCGTCATCTATCAATATGTGTTTTGTATTATAAGTTATTATGTCTTTGACATCTGTTGACACGTATTCATTCGATAAGATATGGTTAGATTAATGTCAATTTACGTAAAGTAAGAACTAGAATTAATCTTATTTGGTTTCCTATGGAAAACTCTCTGATAATTAACCTTTTCTTTTTTTCACAGAAAAGGAAAAGAAAAAAAAATATATATATATATATTTGTGTTATAATATATGCCATATGTAATGTTTAGTACGAAAATGCAATTTCTCATGATGCTCTTGACATTTCTCAATTGTTACAATCTATTCATATCCATACTGAACAACACAAAAATTATCTTTATAAGCCGATTTTGAATATTATTATTATTTAGAAAAATCGAAGTCTATAAGTTATATTAATCAAACAATCACTAATAATGGGTGAAAAGCAAAAATGAATGACTGCATTTTAATATTTTTATTATTCAATATGTTTTATTGAAAAAAATATATGATAAGAGGCATCATTTGTTTTCAAAATGGCCAAAATTCTGTGCGATGCTGTGGACATGATAGTTTTTTTTTGTTAAGCGATCAATTCACTAACATAAAAACAATACTTTTCATGAGAACGTATAGATATTGTAAGTTGATAGGAAATAGTTTAACAATGAAGTACAAACTAAAAGACTAAATATTCAAGAGGAATTCTGATATAGTTAAAGGCTTTTGAAAAAGCTAACTAACGTCTTCAATTATATTGACATTGTTCTTCTACATGTGCAATCTGAAGTTAAACAGTTGCTAGGCAACATGACAACGGCACGCAGCGTACACATACACAATTATTAGCATGATGTAAAGAGAATTTTATAGATTTTATGAATAATTACAGTTGATCATTAAAATAGTTCTGATCTCAATGTTTCGGATTATTTTGTAAATTATGAGTCACTAATTGATGAAATAAGAAAAAGGAATTTCTTGAGTATCAAAAATATAAAGCTTGTTCATAACATTGAAAATTAGTTAAACAGAATTTCGTTCATATATATAAAATAAAATTTTGTTTAAAAATCGTAAAGTATAATAAATTCTTTGTTAATTATAGAAATCTTTGATTTATTAATTATATTGTGAACTTTAGTATGAACAATGTTCTAGTATATAAATGTACATGTATTCAAAAACACTTGACGCTATATTAATCAATAAAATATTTCAAAAAAAAAAGAAAGAACATCACAGATTAGAGTGACTTGAACATGGTGAAACTTGACGAAAAAGTAAAGCAATATCTAATGCTGTTTGATAAATATCTCGAGCACTTTGAAGATTTGTTAAAATGCTTATGCATATACCACAACGTGGATTTGAACAATTATTTGAACATGGAATAATAAGAAGTATAGATGTAGCTCCAACAGCACCACCTGTATGATATATATGAGATGGAATAGTAAATTCATTAATAGAAGATGTCTGTTCTTTTGCTATCATCCATCCTAAACCATAAAAAATATTTTTCTTCTTCGTAGCTACAATAGGTGTCCATATTTCTCGAATTGTTTCTGCTTTTAATAATTGTTTAGTTAATTGTGAATCAATTGATTTTGTTTGACGACATTGTAAAAGAGTATTAGCAAATATAAGAAGATCATTTATATTTGATAACATTCCACCACCGGCCCATTTATATGATAAATCAACATATGCAACATTACGTAAACCTTCTTTTAATGAACGACGACAATAATAACGACTTCGATTTGATACAAGTTCATCTGGATATTCAAGTTTAGTATGACGTAAATCAAGTTGTTTGATAACAAGATCTTCTATGAGTTGAACAAATGTTTGTTTATCATCAGAAATACGTTCTAATATAGCACTTAATAATGTAAAACCATGTGTTGTATAAAGCCACGATGTACCTGGTCGATGAAGTAATTCATCATTAAGAAAGAGTGATAAAGATTCAGCTACTGTCGAAAATGAACGAGTTATATAATATTCTGGAAGATTAAATTCATCATCAGTTTCTGGTTCACCTTTTTTCCAATAGTGACGAACACCACTACAGAAAAAAAAAGACAAATAGTAAAAATATTTTTAAAAGATATCTTTTATATTAGATATGAGTATAAGGGGTCTAAACCGAGATTTAAAATAAAATGAATCATCTATCATTTACCATAATAGATAAAACATTTAGTTTTTGGTTTTGAAAGAAATACCTGGTTGATCATATGAGAAATGTTTTATTTCTTTTTCTCATGTACAAGAATTGAGTCATAGAACTCTAAAATCAAATGAAAAATCGTGGTGAACAGAAATCAATTCATGTATATTGAATAGTTATATCCATTAACGTTTATTTTCATATTGATTAAAAAATCGAATTCAATAGTTTACCTTGTATGCGAAGCTAATTGACGAATAGTTATTGAAACAGGTAGATTTTCATATATAAATTTTGGTAAATCTGGATGATGTTTATCAATTGTATCATCCCAATTAAGTTTTCCTTTTTCCACATATTGTGCTGCTATTGTTGTTGTAAACGTTTTACTAATACTTGCAATACGCATAACTGTATCGGGTGTACATGGAACTCGTTGTTCAATATCAGCTAGACCATAACCTTTTTTCCATACAAGTGAACCATGCATTGTTACACCTATACTCACACCTTTTTACGAAAATAAAACAAAAAGAAAAGATTTTCTAGTATATAATGATTGATGATTTACTTTTATACAAGACTGGATACAATTTTTAGATAATCGTTCAAAAGAATTAAAACCATATAAATAGAAAGTGCAAAATATACGAGTTATATTTTGATAACTAAAACTTTTTAAAGACATGATAACTACGTTATATGACACGTATTCATAGGTACTGTGAGAATGCTGAGTACGTTGTGACTGGTATTTGGTATTGTTAGTCAGTATTGGGAGCTCAAGCAATTGAACGCAAGAAGTCTGCTACTATCTTATGGGGAACGTCAGACACTCTTTCGAATACGATATTAGGAAAGAAAAATGATTCATTATACAGAAATGATAAAGAGTCGACATGAAAATTGTCAGTTGTGTATCATAAAATAAGCATTTCATTTCATAGACATTTTTCTTTTAGAAAGTTTTTGATTATCTAGATATGGTTCGTGGTTTGCTTTTTCTATTTATATGGTTTCAGTTCGTATGAACAATTGTGAGGAAAATAATAACTCAATTTAAAAGATCGTCCAGTATCGTAGATATATATATATTACCTGGAATTCCTTGCTTTTCTTTAAATCCTTGACAAATAATATCCGCTTGATTAATCGTTAGTTTTATTTTTTCTCTATCGATATCATTATTATTTAATTTTGTCCATAAAAATCCAGTAGCAGCACAAAGAATTAAAGGTTTACGCAAAAAATACAATCGCGTAAAAACAACCATATTAGATCTATCTATAATAATCATAAAAAAAATTTTTCTTCATTCATTAAAAAGATATTCTTAATAAAACCAAACATATATTATCTGCTTTTATTTCTGACATATACATATATATAGTATTTGTACAATACAGTATACAGAACATATGCAAAAATTCATAAAATATTCTTGAATGCATCACTCGATTTTGCTTTAAGGTTATTTGTTGATGAATTATTATCAACAGTATGATCTATTATTTTTGCTTTGTAGGCAATAAGTTCATCAATTTGTTTAATAAGTCGAATACGTTCGTCTTTGTTTGATGGATTCTAAAGAATTTGTTTTTTTTTATATAGAAATGTATAATATTCAAATAAGAAAAAGAAATATTTTCTTACTATTTTAGTTAATTCATGTAAAATTTGTTCAAATACTTCATTCTATTTTAATTCATATTTATGTATTGATTTCAAACGTTCAAGAAATTTATCGATGGTTATTTCACATGATTTTAAAGTATCTAATAAAACTATTTGTTCATTGATGTAATTAACAAAATTCATTTGTTCATCAATACATCGTTGATATTCGGCTAAATAATAGTCAAAAGCTACTAATTTATTAGTTAACGATGATGATGATGAAGACAATAAACGAATATTTAATTTCGATTGTAAATACGTCGGACATTCAGCATTAAATTTATCTAATACTGTATTTGATTTTGTAGAAATTTGAATTGTTTTATCTGACGATGCCATATTTATCTGGAACATCAAATGAACGGAATCATCTGTCATCTGTTAATCTTCTGTATGTCATTAGACAAAACTTTTGTCTTTCGTCCTATCAATAACGAATGCATTTCTTACTATCGACATCTATATAGAAAACCAAGTCACTTTCTTTTACGATATGAAAGTTTTATTTTGGATTATTTTTATTTGAACAGAAAAAAAGATTGCTTAAGGAAATTGACAAGAAACAGCTGATTTTGATGAAATTCTGTCTAATAAAATAAAAGAAATTGTAAGTAACCTTCAAACAAGGATGTACCGGGTGCATCCCCCTTCCCCCTCCCCCAACCGCCACTTCTAGAAATTTATCGTTTTTTTCAGCCGAAACCGTAGTTCTTTTTATTAAAAAAAGGATCTTAAACACAGAAAAAAAAGTTCTACATCTTACTTTTCAAAAACTTGTACATACACCTTTTCAAAACTTAAAAAATTCTTCACATTCTCCTACTGTTGTCTTTTCTACACATCCCTAGTTCCAAACGAAAAAACAATTCAACTATAGATAGAAAAAAATCATTCAAACGATGGACATTATCTTCTTTTTTCACTTTATCACACTATGAATTATTGTTACATTGGAACAGAAAGAATAATTTATTGCATGAATCGAAGAATTCTTAATTCTATCAAGCTATCAGATAGCTCTATACTCCACAAAGAAGAATTCTTCTTACTGAAACACAAAACAATACTATGACGGTGATGATCTTTTATTTGAAATACTTATCCACCATTTGGACGTTTTTCGCTTGCTTTACCGGCGAGCATGGTCTGATTCTGTTCTTAATAAGTCGAAGCTACTCTGCATCCGCGCACATATCTCGTCAAATAAAAACAAAAGAAAAAGAAGTCTTTTGTATTCATTACATTTGTTTCTTTCAAGAAAACACAAATGAATTACATTTTCGTTTTACATCTTCCAGGTACATCCACACGTTTAAAATGTCAAGATGATTTTCAGGCACTGAATCTTGTAAAATATTCAGTGTACGTTTATAAAATGAAAGTGCATTCGAAAAATCGCCTATGTTGGCATATATCAAACCAATGCTGCTGTACGGAGTATCCAAATCAAGATGATTTGAAGGACGAGCTTGTTGAAGAATTTCCAGCATTTTATGAAGCGATGAATGTGCTTTCGAACAGTCATTCATGTTGTCATAGACCAAACCAATGTCGTTGTAAGATTGAGCCAAATCAACATCTATTGGCGAGAAAATTGCTTGTTTGATTTCTATGGATCGTTGAAAACAAGCAAACGCATCTGCATAGTCACCGTGATCTACCTTCATCATTTCAAGCATATTGTAAATTGATGATTTCTCACTATCACTCATTGCTTGATCAAGCTGGGTATTGTACACCTTTTTAGCTTTATCTAACTGTCCCAATCTAATCAGAAAGCTACCTAAACGATTCCATTCTTTGAGATGATAATAGGTGTCTTGGTGTATGTTTTCAGTAAGCGCATGGAGTTCAGGATCGTTATCACTAGTCAATGTTAAATTGACTTGCCGAAGATGACTATTTTCATTGATTTATTTCATTATTCTAATGTGAAAGATAGAATGCATGGAGAAGAGAATTTCCTCTTTCTCTTTGAAATAACTCACGTCTTGGACGTTTGCGAAAGCAGTTGTTGCTGTTGTAGGATTGATAATTATTTCAAATAGAACATCTATCAGATCAGGATCCTCTTGGTTACTTTCAGCATAGGCAAGAGATATTTCTCGATCAAGACTTGTTGACAAAAGGTTATTGAATGATAATAGGCCACCTTGAGTTTTAGCCATTTGATCAGAAGTGTGTCTGCGACAATCCTTGACCACAGTAAACAGTAAATGAATTTCTATTTAAATGTTCAATAAACTGTTGGACATGAAACTCAGTCAGATGATTGTGGAGATCTCGAATGAAAAATCCCATCCTAATAATGAAATCAACTTCCATCATTCGTAACGACCGGTTGAGCATCGACTACAAAAGATTTGAGTAGGCTGTACCGTCAAATTGGAAGCTGTTCATAGTATTCTCGTTCGATTTTTTGCACATTTTGCAGTTCTGTTGAATTTACAGAAAATAATTGACGACAAAAAGTAGTAAATTCATCGATGTGTACATAAATGAAGAGTCCAATTGGTCGAGATTCGGCTTGCTGCTTCCACTGGTAGTTGTGACAAAACTGATCGAGATCATGTTTTGATCACATTTATATGTCGCTTGTGGAAGGTCTTTACAGATAGGAACAATATCTGTAAACATCCCTTTTACTTTTGGCCAGACCTGTGCCCATTGTACATGCGGAGCTTGATTTTCACTCGATAAAGACTTTCTCTTCTTGAATATCCGTTATAAAATTGATGTATTCATCCACATCGGTGAATAGCTGTTTATTGTTTACTACTTCTTTTAATTTGTTCATGGTATTGACACAATCATCATTATTCAACTCATCGATATTTGCATTGAGCTACACCAGAATGAAGTTCTGAACCATACGAGCATAAGAAAGCTGTTGCGTCTTATGTTCGTGTGCTCATCAGATATCATGGCAATACTAGCAACAGTTGTTCTTGTTGTAGTTGTTCGTTTTATCTTTTTGTTCATTTTGTGATTTATGTTTTATCAATGAAAAAATGAAATAAAATAACTTGAGTTAATGTAGTATGTTGAAGTTTTTTTTTCTAGATCTATCTATTTTTTTATGATTTTCGTGATCGTTCGTGTTCTTTTTTTTTTTCGTTTCAATTAAGTGCTTTGCTTCTTTGTTTTTATCTTTTGTTGTCTGCAGTGTTACAAGATAGTGAATAAGTGAAAGAAAAGATTGCAAAATCATTTCATACACTGTGTCACACTTCAATTTCTTTTGATGATGTTTAGAAGCTTTTCTCTCTTTCTTCTGATATTACTGTACTTGAAATTCCAAATAGAAATGACATAGTACATTTCGTTGTTTGAAAATACATGGCGTATTCTTATTCCAGTTGCTTGTTTCTGCTCAATTAAAAGTACAGTAACATACGAAACCGATGAAAGTATAGGTAGAACGTCGTTATTGCTGTCGAGAATAGTTTGTTTTTAAATGAAAAATCAATTAGTATTAACATAGGATAAAAATAACTTGTTTTACATCCATGTTGTCACATCATTGATGCAAAAACTAAATGAAACTATCATCATTAATTTGTTTTAAAAATGACACATAATGTCTATGATATTTTTCTGTCTTTACTTGATTATGTTGTTGTAGGTGATAACCAGTTTCAAAATTAGTTCATCTTGTCAATTCACTCTGAGAGTCAAACTGGAGTCATTTCATTCATGAGGTTATAAAACTTTCGAATTGATTGGCTTGTCAAATTTAGTAAAAAAAGGCAATCTTTCAATATTATACAAAGATGAACGATACATTTAATGCACGTTTAATTATATACTCCACAAATCGGTTGTCAAGAAACAAACCAGATTTTGTGTCAATTGAAAATCTATAGATGTTTGATAAAAAACTCATGGAATTTATAGTAAACTAATGTATGTGAATTCTTCACTAAGTTTTCATTCATCTTTCATCTTCAATTCATTCTGATTCTCTATCACTGAGAGAAATAGAATGCAGATGACTATATATGATGGAATTAGTTTAAAGAGTTTCTAATAAATTGTACCATATAGAACAATTTTTCATGAGAATTTCTGAGCAATTCTTATTATATGTGGTAGTCGAACTGGATAATTTCATCGTTTATCGAATTTTAAAAGAACTCTAAGGCTATATTAACTTAGAAATCAAAGTCTACTGTATCGTCATATCAACAGAACTAGAACACGTTTTCATTATCTCGAGAAAAAAATAGAATTCTCACTTCATAATCGTCAATTTGTAGAGTGCATTGAGAACGAACAGAACTTCACATCGAAGTTTTGGAAGAAGAGTGATTATATAAGAATATTGAACTTTGTGACAACGTTTGAACGAACATTGTACAACTCTTTCATTGTTAAACTATTACGATACAAAATAACGACTCAAGTTAGTTACATGTCGAAAAAGTGAAAAAATCGAGAGTGGTTACCAAACTGTGCTTTGTACTTTAATTAGTCCTTTGGCTATGGTCATTGTATCATCATCACATATGATAATCTCACTTGAGTTAAACTGTATGATATCATCACGACATGGAAAATTATATCTCTCTAACAATTACATTTCGTTCATATCATTGGTATTCGTATTTATCGTTTTTTATTGTGAACTGGATTATCATTGTTATCTTGTTAGACAGTGTCTTTATTTATCTTAAATAATCGCTTTATTTCATTATCGTTGTTGTGACGTTATAATTATATACAAATAGTTTGCCAATATCGTTTTTCAATCTATTGTCATGCATCAATGTGTGCATGTTCTCTTCTCTAGAATGTGCAGGTACACTCAGTCTTATTTTCTTCTCTTTGCATTGTATTGATCACGTATGTGCTTTCTTTCTCTGCTTGTGTTTAATTAACAGCTGGTAAATGGTCGACTATCTTTACAAATATAAATGGGCGTGACAAACTGTCGGAATGTCCTATTTTGATGCAGTCCTATTGTAAGGACAAAAGATACTATTGTCCGGGTCATATGAGAGAGGATCCCACATAACCCTGTATTGGCCTGAACAACACTATGTTTTATGGTTACAATAGTAGACAACAGCTATCAGCGTCTCGTGTGAGCTAATAGCTGTTGTCTACTATTGTAAGGATAAAACATAATGTTGTTCAGGCCAATCCAGGGTTATCTGGGATCCTCTCTCATATGACCCGGATAATAGTATGTTTTGTCCTTACACTAGGACTGCATCAAAATGGGACATCCCGACAGTTTTTCACGCCCAAATATCGATTTATGAAAATCTATATGATCTTTTTGGCATATTTTTATCTATTTAACGATTGTCAGTTCAAAATATCTTCACGTATTTGTTATAGTATCTAGTAGAGAATGATTGAACTAACATGAACGTAAGACTAAATTGCAGTGTTTACAATCAAACAAATTTGTATTCGTATGTCATTACATAAATTGTTTGTAGCTATTATTTTGTCTTATTTCAAACGTATCAATAATATGATGAAGAATTTTTAATAGTCGTTAATAAGATGTTCTATCTTGTCTTTAGAATTGAAAATAAAAGAAATGATTTTATTTATCTTTTATTGTGAAATACTTGAGTGTTTCTCTCATTGTTATGTATGTTATTCAATTTGAAAACTTTTTAAACTTATGTTCGATTGATTTACTTTGAAGAATTTACATACATAATGTCGATCGTTATGCAATGATTTTTTGCACGAAACCTCGCTTATAAGATCATACAAAATAATAACTAATGCTTTCATGAGTCATATTGTTAATTTGCACGATTTGATATATTGATCAAAGCTATCTCACTTGTTTGATAATCTTTATTCTTTCCTTTTCATTACAAAAAACGATTATCCTGTTGTATTTCATCTAATAGAACACAAGTTTTTCTGTAATGACTATTTCTTTTCTTATCAGTGAAGAAAATTTTTTGTAACAGTTCCATTTGCTGAACACATACAGTATTCTACATAACATTAGTACTATAAGCGTATATCATTGTTTAGTTCTTATATGTAAAATATTTGTTGTATTCATAATAACAAGAATAATACGAACAAAAAAAAATACATTAGTAGCAAAAAAAAAGAAAACGAACATGTACCACTTAGAGAAGGAACAATAATAAACCAAAGAAAAACCCAACAAAAGATGTTTTTTTTTTTCGTTTCATTTCAACATCTGAAAGACACATCATCTCAATTGTTTTATACAGTGAGATAGTTAATAGATGGAAGAAAATTACAGAAATATTTCAAATATATATCATCACATCATTTGTTGAGTAGAAGACAAAAAAATATTAAAGAAACAATTCATTCAATTATCTACATATTTGAAAGTGGAATAGCATAACAAATAAACAAAAAAAATTGAAGTTGGAATGTAGAATTCAATAAGCAAACAAACGAACAACCAAAAAAAGAAGAAGAATCAAATAGTATTTACATGGTGGTGGATTTATAGAATAATTGTATATTTATAATGCTTAATAAATAAGAAAGAATAGATCGAAGTGTTTATATATAATTTCGATCTTTCAGTATAGATGAAGTTAGTAAACGAGGTGTTGTTACATTATCATCAGATGAATATCGAGGATTTTCACGATCGACTATTTTTGTTCGAAGATCGTTCGTTTTCAATCGACCTAGAAATATAAATCAAATGAAGTCCGTTTTTTTAAAAATTACTACAGAACTAAGCTTATAAAGCAGTTAGTGTTTATATATATCAGACAAAGAGAGCGCGCATGCGCACACTATGTCACTTACCAACGACGTCAGCATACGACTGGTACGTCGCGGCTTATTGATGCTGAATAAACAAACACAAAAATATAAATCAGCATCAGCAATATAAACAATTAATATTCAAATATATTCTTAAATAAACAAAAGCATAGGCATCTTTTCCCATAGGCATATGTCACATATTAAACACAAAGCATAAGTGAGCGGGCAATGAAAAAAAAAATACCAACAAAAATGTCACAAAAAGCGCAATAAAAAATAGAAAGGCATTATCAAAACTTGAGCAATTATTCTACCCTAGTAGATCGAAAATTTCGTGCTGGTATAGGTGGAGGTATTTGACGCTGTGTTTGTTGAGTGTCACCATGTGATGAATGTGATGGTGGCGGTGGTGGTGGTGGACGACTATGATTAGATCGAATATCACCTCCAACTGAAGATGGTGGTTGATTTACTCGATTAGTATTCAATTCATTCAATACTCCAGCAAATGTTTCAACTTCTGAAAGGTTATGTATTACAAGAAACAATGAGAAAAAAAATATTATATGTGAACAAAAGGGAAAGGGAAAAAAAATGTCTAGTTTTTTTTAAGGAGATAATAAGTTTACCTGGTGGTCGACGAACTCGCCTTGGTTGTGATGTCATATTAGCATCTTTGAGAACAGACATAAGATTTGATACAACGTCAGTATCTTCATCGCCTATAAATGATTAATTGAGAAATAAAATTATTCGATAGATAAAATTATGAAAGATTATTTTACTTGGTTTAAAGAATGTTTTTGGTTCGGCTTTTGGTTCTGCACGATGTTTCTTTCGTATATCATCAACAAGTTGTTTTGACATTTGAGCACGTTTAGCTTTTTCATCTTGTTCACGCCATAGACGATTTTCTTGTAAACATGATAAAAATATCGTACAAAATGTTTTTAAATCAGTAAAAAAATCATTTAATGGACATTTTTTAGGATCAATTGCTAAATAATCACATAAATCTTGATATGCACTTATCATTTTAGTATTCAAAACATCAAATCTTTCAATATCATCTCGTGCTATTTTAACAAAACCCTAAAGAAACAAAAAAATATTTATTAAACATAATTTTCTTTTTCTTAAATTTTATATTCAAATTACTTCCATTATTTGAGCAAAACGATCACCTGGTATCGAATCTGCTGGTGAATTTTTTGCATTATCTAAATCTGTTTGTGCGCTATTAACACGGGATTTTATTTCATTTAATATTCTTTGTAATTCATTAGTATCAACTATAAGAAGTAAAAAAAAAGACATTTTTTTTCTTAAAAAGAAAAAATATTGAATAATTTTCTTACTTTTTGATGCTACTTCAGCAACACCTTGAAATTCATCACCAAATTTTAATAAATCTGCATGATCTTTTTCAATTTCTTGTAAAATAAAATGTAATAATGTTCGTTTACCATCATTAGCTTTTGTTGAATGTAACTATTTGCATGAAAAACAAAAAATTTTAAAAGGTAAGAAAAAAAATACAATGTGATTTTTACTTTTGGAAGAAAGCTAATATCAAAACCATATATTGGCTCATATGTTTTACCACTTGAATTCATATAATTACCAATTGTTAATACAAGTTCAATTAATTTTGGAAAACGTTTAGAACGACGAACTGTCTCACAGGCTTGTCGTGCAGCAACAAAACTCTATGAAAGACATTGAAGAGTTCATAGGATAAACAAGTTGTATGTGAAGAAAATCAGTGAAATGGCCATAACCTTCAAAGTAAGTCCCATCAGTCAAAACTCTTCCAGGATTTTTCTTAGAATGATATCCTCAATACATAGGCTAAATATCATTGAAAACAGCATGGATTAGTTGAGGATTGTCCTGCATTAGACATCTCAGCGGTAATAATTCGAAGTATCTGCTCGTATTTAGGTAGTCAATTTTACAGAATCAAGATTTCTTTTTTATTTCTCTAGATATTGCAGGAATCAACATGTGATAGAATATAAAATTTTGTATTAAAAGTAAAATAAAAACAAATTATAGTTGAGTTTTGAATAGAATTACAAGAAGTAAAAGAATATCTTTTAAAATTTTTTTCCTCTTTCGGATATCATATCATTACAAGTATTTCAAAAAAATCTACATGATTATAGCAATAAAATCACATATTTTAAAACAATCACTCGATTGACCGTAGTTTAGTCAAAAATATCGAAGTAGGAAAAATTTTAATAAGTAACATACATTTTTTATTGGTGTATGTTGGTTTGGGTGAAGAGAAAATTCACATTCTCAACAACGTCTCTCATCTACATTTATCCATTCGATATTTTTATTTTCGACTACCACTTGAAATTTCACTCTTATGATAAGTATTATTCAAGAATGTTTACCTTTTCTGTTTCTTCGAGTGATTCTTTGTATTGACTTTTAAACAGAAGTATTTTAATACGTTGTTGTAAACGTTTTATATCGCTGACCTATATATGTAAAATAAATTTTTTTTCTTTTTAGACTATAAAATTTGAACTTACAGCACAAAAATATTGTTCAGCATCAGGTAATTCATGTATTTCATTTTTTATTTCTGAAAGTTTTTTTAATTCTTCTGGAGTAGGAAGTGATTTATCTAATTGAGCAAGTAAATCACTTGTTAAATGTTCACTATCACAAGCAAGAAGCCATTGACGAAATTGTTGTGGAGTTGATTTTAATTGACTAAACATAATAGCTAAGAAAAAATAAACGAATAAAAATCGCATGATAACATAAATAAATATTATCAAACCAAAATTTTGACCAGCACGTGGATCAAGTACACGAAATTCTTTTGTTTTCTTTGTTGTTGTTGTTGTTGATGATGATTCATTATCACTATCAGCAAGATTTTTAACTGCTAAATAAGAAATATATTTTATTTAAATGATTGATCAATTCAATTCGTCAATTCGTACCAGGAGCTGATTTTGTAGCAAAATTTTCTTTAATTGTTGTAAAAAATACTTTATTTTGAAAATTTTTTTCATCAATATTTGCCCAAATTGATTCTTTTTTTATTGATTGCGGATTTATTTTATTCCAAGCCACTTTTTTTACAGCTTCACCAACAACATATTTTTGTTTTTTTGGTAAATATTCAGGCAATGGTAGTGGACCTCAAAATAGTTTATAAAATGAACAACTATTGATAAATAATTTCAAAACGAGTTTTGTATATACCAAGTGGAGGAGCATTCATGTTCATCATCGGTGGAGGCGGTGGTGGGCCTCCGCTACCGATCATTCCAGGAAATGGCGGAGGTGGAGGTGGCGGACCTCCGCTACCAGTCATTCCAGGGAAGGGTGGAGGTGGAGGTGGTGGACCTCCACTACCGGTCATTCCCGGAAATGGTGGAGGTGGTGGTGGAATACCCTCACTACCTGTCATTCCTGGAAATGGTGGAGGAGGTGGCGGTGGCACACCACCTTCTGTCATCATTGGAGGTGCTGGTGGTATGAGACCTGGAAAAATGGTTTATTTCGATTTTTCTTTTCAAAAGGCAATAAAGCAGAAGAAAAAATACACAAGCAAAAGCAAAAGAAGCAAATAAGCCACACGATTTATTCTGACCTGGCATAGGAGGAGGTGGTGGTGGTATATTTCCTGTAGATATATATTTGTAAAGAATTGTTCTTTTACTAACATCTAATCTTTTTTCTTTGTGTTATTTTCGAATATATTACCTGGTGGCGGAGGTGGTGGCATTAAGTTACCAGGCAATGGAGGTGGTGGCGGAATATTTCCTAATGATGGCGGCATCGGTGGTGCTGGTGGTGGCGGTATGTTTCCCATTGATGGTGGAAGAGGAGGCGGTGGTGGTGGTGGAATGTTACTAGCAGATCCAGTAATCGATATTGATTCTCCAAAAATATCAGTGTATTGTTTTTTAAAATTTATTGCTGTTTCTGTATCAACCTATTCAAACAAATAAACAAATTTCAGTCAATCGTTTTTCTTTGTTTTATTTTCATCAGAAGAATTCTTCTTTTTTTTCTACTTTGCTTAAAATATTGTCCAGTGCTTTTGTTAATTTTTCTCTTATTTTTTCCAGATGTTCAACACGTTCTTTCATTAAATTAATTTGTATTTCATTTTCTGTTACTGTTACATTATTGATAGCATTTCCTGCCATTTGTGATAAATCATGTAATGAACCATTACGTACTGATGATATATGATCATTTAAACCTAAACCAGAATCTCCAATTGATTCACTATCCATTGAATATGTATCAAAATCAGGATCACATGCTGATTTTGAAAAAACAATACGTGTTATACATTCATCAATTAAACGAAGATAAGAATAACTTTAAAATAAAAATGATTTTATATTTAAAACCTCGAAAAAAAAAACAATTTCTATTAACTAACCGAATAGCTGGATCATCTCGAATACAAATAAGTCGATTAATAATACTTGATAGTATAGGTTCTGATGATGTATTTTTTACTAAACCATATAAATAATCAAAACAAGCTTGAAGATCACTATAAAGACAAATAAAAAAATTATTTTTTCGCTGTATTTAGAAAAAAAGAAAAATTTTAATTTTCTTACGCCCATGTATTAGATATTGTTTCAAGTTTAATATTCATTGATTGATAATCATCATCAACATGACGAAGAAATAAATTTATTTGTGTTAATAAATTATCTTTTTGTTTTGGATCTTCACATTCATTGACTCGTCTTTGTAATTCCTATGAAAAATGAAATTGTAAAATGAGACAATTGAAAAAAATCTTAGTTTTACTTCAAAACGTGATTTAAAACCAGAACGAAACAATTCACTACGTAAATGATATCGATGTTCTGTTGATAATGTAACAAATATAGCATTGATACACATTAAAAAACTACTCTGAAATAGACGAAAAAACAAATAAACAAAATGAGAAATAAAAGTTTAGTTAATGAATTTTAATTTACATACAGCTATTTCTATTGTTCCATCAAGTTCATGAATTAAACATTCGAAACGTTCACGATTAGGACACCATTTTTGAGCAGATTTTGAAAGAAGTTGAACTATATTTTGACCATTAGAAGGACTAAAATTAAATTAAGTATTTTTAGAATTTATATTTAATGAAGCAAATTTAAAAAATTTTTCTTCTTTACAATTTTACGTCTTTTTTTTTATATAACCAAATATTAATAATCAGAGACAAATTATTTTATATTTTTGATACTAGAATTAATTTGAAACTAGCATTAGATACATGCAGGGTAAACATTTTTCGTATCTTGCACCCTGGCTAACGAGGAAAGTCAGTCAACTAATGCATCACTTTTAAGTGAAGACTGTGGACATCATGTAGATCCTAATAGATTATAAATATCCCGAAAAGAGTGAGAGTTTTTAGCTTATTGCAGCTGAACTACTGAAAACAATAAGAAAATTCATTTTCAAATTTCAACTTGAAACTTTTCATAGAGATAAAACTTAATGCGAACAGTTTGTTGTCAAAGTTTCAAGTCATTTCATTGTTTCTCTTCTAAGATACAGCTATGATAAAAGCTTGTCTTCTAGATGGCTCATATGCACCGAGAGATTTGCTTCTCTTATTTCAGGATCAAAACAAACCACAAGACATGAAACTTTCTTAATAAACTATTTTCGTTAAGACCTGCCTCTATGGAACGCTTCACGTCAAAATTTGAAAATGAGTTTCTCTTATGTTCCTGAGGGAGCCTATGGCATTGACTTAAAAAATACCGTAAAAATGTAGGTTTTCATAGCAATAAGATAAGGGCTCGAACTATTCTCAGAGTATTCATAACTCATGAGAATCTGCATGATATATATAGTCTAGGTTCCAAAACGGTTAATCAGCTGTGGGAGTTAGTTTGTGAGAGAAATGTTTTCACCTTTATCCTATCGTACTCTGCACATCTCTAATCAAAATCTAGAATAAGAATTAATACGTTTGATTCTTTGAATATTGACAGGTATAAATAATTTTATGTCCCAACAGGAACAGCTGCAATAGTATTCTTTTTTAACCTTTCAATATTTCTGTTTTTTGTTTTTTTGCTTTTGTATTAGATATATATTAACAACAAAGACGAATGACACTCTATGGAATAGTTTTATGATAAATTTTCACGTATTATTTTGATATATGTTCATACTTCACTATAACAATAATAGAAAAACTTGTATTTTCTCTTCTCTCTAATAAAGTTGATCAAAAGATATCTATCCGGAAAAACCTAATCTTTAGAATATCATCAATCATTAACTTGCAAGCAATACAAAGAATCGAATTAAAAAACTTACTTATTTTCATTTGGCATAGCCAATGCAAATAAAAGAATAGCACATGTAAGTTTAGTTTTATTTGAACGTTCATCAATTTCCACACATAAAATATTTAATACATCAATTGTTATTTCAGCTATATCTTTTGCAAGTGATTCTTTCATTGAATTAAAATTCCAACCAAGATTAAGATAATTTTTAAATGCTTCAATACCAGCAGCAAGTATTTCATACAATGTATTTTGTTTTTCACGACGTTCATCACCATCACGATTAATTTTTCTATTTAAAAAAAGACAAAAATAAAAAATTCTTGTTTGCTTTTTCTTTAATATCAAAATCAATTAAAACATACTCTCGTGTATATTGAATTTTACTGATACATGCTCGTATTGCTTTAAGCATTGCATTTGGACCATTATAATTTTCACTGAATACTTTACTCCATTTTAAACCATATTTTTTTAATGAAAATGCAACACGTTCAAATGTTTCTTTACTATTTTTTGAATTAATATTATCAATAGTAACATTATTTAAACATTGAATTTGATATTCAGGTGATTTAGGACCACTCATTTCATTCTAGATTAAATTATTACATTAATTGTCTTCTTAATTTTTTTTTTCTTAATATTTAAACTTACCGTAGCTAGTTTATAATGTGAAATAAGCATTTCTCTCATATGTGCTGTTGTTGTTTGTTCAAACATTTTCTTTTTTGTTTCATTTCCTTCGAATAAATCATCCTTAAATATTTAAAAAATATATCTTACGAATAAGAAAAAAAAATCAAATAATTACTCACCATAACAGATTTAAAACGTTCTCGTACTTCATCATCATTAAGTGTACTAACATCAAGATCATTTGATGTTGTTGATGATGAAATTATAGTTGAATCAGATACACCATAAAATGAAGATGTACTTTCATTAGGAACATTTAAATGATTTCCTTTATTTGAACTTGATACATTATTGCCAGAATTCATTCCAAATGGAAGTGGAGGACGTGATTTTCCAGCTGATTTTCTCATTGACTTCTAAAATTTATTTTAGTTTTATTTCTATAGCAAGAATAATATCATTTGAAATGATTAGAATAATGAATTCAAAAAAGAAAATTGTATGTTTTTATTTAAGTGAATTTTTAAATTCAAACTTTTCGCACATTTTTTTTTTCTTATTGTTTGTTTTTCATGGTTAGATCGAACACATCCAGTTACGGACGAAAACTGTTTATTCAGTTTACGTTTTAAAAAAACAATCGAATTTTAGATTTCATTACTAAAAAATGTCAATTTTTCAAGCAGTCGTGAAATATAATATGGCTTCTTATTCTTTGCAACTATGTAAATATTTATATATCGGTTCTCAACATAAAATTGATACATAAAGTAATTTTAAAATGTTTTTTTTTTTCTGTATTCAATTGCTATGCTGTGACCCAAAAAAAAAATATTTAGAATTGTACAGAACGAAAAAACATATTTTATTCATCTATGCATGAAAAAAATAACTTTTTCCTTGGTAAATGGATGCGCTCTATCCACCAATGCATAAATAGGTGGAAAAAAAATAATTTTGCATAAAGTTTCAATTACATGCATATAATCCCAAAGGAAACCTCTTAGAACATGACTTCATTAACTTAAGTAATAAATTATTCACACGGACATGTTTTTCAAATTCTGTTATACAATTATTCATGTATTTCGTCTTATTATTGAAACATATGTCCTATAATGCCACATCAGTAGTATTATATAAACAATATCTTACAATTCTACAGATTTAATCTAGAATATTTTGTATTTGGCAAATACAATAGACTACTTATGAATGAAATATTATGAATTTACAATAAGCACAGAATAATATTTATATGCTGTAATGTAAGTTTTCAACGTTTGATGTGTTATTGTTTATTGAAAAGAACATATGTCGTATTTAATGTAAATTTGATGCAAAAATATGGAGCGAATGAAAAAATGATTTTATAAAAAAAAAAATTATTTTTTGAGTTATAATAAATAATTTATAAAACTTACCATAAATATTGATGAAATTGTTCCACCCTACATAATCAAAATAAAATTAAAAATTTTTTTAATATTAAATATTTTTGTTGCTTTTTTTTACCGCAGTTCCTTTGGTCTTAGTTTTTCCTTCTTTAGTCTCACGCTCTTGATTTCCATCATCACTCATTATTATTATTATTATTTAGTTCAATTTAAAATTCAAAATATCTTATCTAAAATACGAAGAAAAAAAGGTTCATATCTATTTATGATACAATTGAATTTTTAATTAAATTTCCATAAATTTTTGCATTCTGTCGATTTTGATGTTTTATTATCATTGCACATAAACGATCATTTTCATACTGTCGTTTTTCTTTTAAATATGTGTTATTTGTTGTTTTTATATTTGGTATAATACGATGATGACATTTATTATTATGTCGATAAATTTGATTAACACGTTCTTTTGATTGTTGAATAAATGAAGATTTTCGTTGTTGAAATGCATCTTGTAATGATGAAATATCTTTACTATTATTATTTAATGAATTTAAAGGTAAAAAAAATTTAAATGATGACGAAGATGTTTGTTTTGATTGTTTAATTATTTTTTGAATTTGTTCGAGTAAAAATGCTTGTTTTTGTTGGCAAGCAATTAATTCATTAAATAGTTCATGTAATACAGATGACTGATCACTAATTTTTGACAGTGTCTAAATAGAAAGAGAACAATAAAAATAAAATAAATATTGTTTTTGTATGGATTTTTATGATATGTTATAAATACATTTTTCTGTTAAATAAAAAAGTACTTTCAAGAGGATTGTGTTAAGAAACCATATTTTCGAGAAATTGTTTTCTCAATGAGAGAAATATGTCAAATCAAATGACAAAGAAGAAAATACAAAAATTCGATTTTTTTTTTCTCTTTTTCAATTTAACTTGAAGGATCTTTTATACTATTTGTGAATGTGAAAAGAGAATCAATAAAAAATTGTTTTTGTTGAAGTTAAGTGAAATAGTTTCAGGTTTGAAATTTAAATAACTTACTGATCGATTCGTTACGATTTCGTCTATTATAGATTTTTCTTCATTTGTCGGTATGTTTTGTTTTTTTATAGATACTTCGGAATGAAGAGTCATATCGCCATCATTTTTTGATGCTATTGATGATGACGATAATGATTGTTGAATGACTAAACAAGTAAAATAATATGCTACAATTGAAATTGAAACCATTGTTTTTCTTTTATTTCATCAAAGGTTTCAATAGTTCGATTCTCTGTTTAATTATCAATATGATTTTAGTAGAGTTTAACCTTTTCGATTCGACATATAATGTCATATGTGCAGTTGTCTGAAGTGTTTTTATCGTGTTGAGTTCGAAAAATAAATCATTGCTTGCCAACAGTTAAACAATAACAGAGATTATGGTGAAGAATTTCTTAGAGTAAGATTTTGTTTATGCATATTGATGTTTCAAGTACAAAGTGAAATTTTTACTACGATTTTTTTTTAAGCTATGTTAATCCATCAGTCCGATTAAAAGTCATACATTAGAATGCATGATGAGTAATACTCCCACGTCACGTCATATACACCTTTTTCTGTGTGTTTATGTTTTTTTTTCAGGTTTATGTTATTCATTCTGTGATTCAAATGATACCTGCAGGTTCATAATTAGTTGTTGAATGAAATCTATATTTATTTGATTTTGTTGATGATGAATTCGTGTAATAATTTTCATTCGATGATAATTGAATAATATCTGTTGAAGTTCGTAATTTCTATTAAAAGCAGAAAGAAAAAGAAATGTTCTATGTTATTTTTAATTTGTAATCTCACAGTTTCAAGTTGTTTTGTAACAAATTCCCAATCGATATTATCATCTTCTGTATTATTATTATTATACGATGATGATAAACTATGAGTGTTTGAATCAAGTGTTACATTATGAATAGTATTTGATTTATTAATTGTATGAATTCGTGTGAATGATTGTGGTTCGAATGCAAAAGAAGAGAAATTAGTTTTTTCTTTTGAAGTCATATGATCTATATGAGTTTGAATCATTTCTAAAAAGAAAATGTAAAATCGAGGAAAAAAACAAAATTGTGTAGGAGTTAAGAAAAAGAATATATGAATATAAGGATTAGTTACTAATGATCTATATTTAACTACAACAATCGTCATTTGTAACTTTAGAAAAGAGAAGACATTTCTTCTTTTTTTAGGGACGTATATGTGTGCCTGTATTGTTATACTTAAGTCTTTATTGTGTGTAAATAAAAAACAATAACTGTAATGAATTGTCAAGGTATTGTTAACTTATCTCAAAATATCAGTTAAAATAAAACAATTAGAGAATGAAAAGAAAAGAAAAATTTTTGCCTTTTTCTTTTGTGTGTGTGCGATTTCGAGTCATCATCAAGGCTGAGTCAAACAAAAGATAGTGTGAATCATTTATTGCTCACTTCGTAAATTCAAAGTGTGTGTGTATGATGGAAAAAAAAAAGTAAAAATAAGTCATACTAGATGGCGTTAGAGCGCTGTATTTAACATGCATTAAAAGTTTTTCTTCTAAATAAAACTAATCAATAATGAAAATGTATTTTAATCGATAATTTTATACAAAATTCGTGATTAACAGATTTTAAATGAAAAAAAAATATATATTGAAAATTACGGCGATATAATGAGAGAAACATGTGGTTTCAAGTACTCTTGCTTTGATAACTATTCCTTATCACCTAGAAGCAGCGACCTTGCTGGCTTAAAACAAGTCGAACAAATTATTGATCAATACTTCTTTCGACTGACGAAGAGAATGATAATCATTGAAGTAAATTAGATGATATTACTGATGAGAAAAAAGATGTTGATATAATATGACTTACTTATTGTATAGAAAAAGATTAGTCCTTAAAGCTAAAGAAAATCGAAGTTAAAGAAAAAAATTCTATGATATAGAATGTATAGAAATATCTGCGTTTTCTAGTTCGATGCCTTACTTGAAGACGTCAAGTTTGGCTTCTCATCTATTCTCAATTGTTGCATTTATATTTCAAACACAAGATAAGACTTTTTCTTTCTCTTGTTCTCTCCGTACATCTAAAAGCTGAGGTGAGTCAGCCAAGTAGTAAAAGAAATTTTAAAGTAAACACATTATATAGGATGATAATACTTATTTAACATCTACTCGAGTTAAAAAAACAACAATTTCACTTTACAATCGATTTCGAAACTACTTTTATTCATGTCAAGGACATACGTTAAAATTTACATTAATAAAAATTCTAATGAATATTTTTCGAATGATTTATTACTACTGATAGGTAATAAACAAATAGTTTCTTATACAAAAATAAATGAAATTAATCTATGAGAATTTCCATTATTACATTTAGTTATATTAGAAGATTTTCGAATAAATAATTCATTGTCAAGAAATTGATTGAATCAATTTCATAACTTTATTCAATTATTTTGTGGATACAATTTTATCTTAAGAAGATGTATTAGTATCTTTCTTATCATTTCAATTATTTACAATAAAATATTTTGAAATAAACGTTAAGAGTTCCTTTAGTATGGAAACTTATATCTTTTCTTTATTGTTTTTCCTTTTTTTTTTTTTACAAACATTTCGTGCTGATCTTTATTGAAATAATATTCTTTTAATAAAACCAAATTTAGCTTGTTTTTATTTTCTTGAAACATTTGATTTTATTGGTTAATTTTGCTAAAATTTCATCAATATCTAGTTTAACACATGGTTAATTAATGGTAATATATTTGATATAACTATGTTAGAACATGCCGTTTTCCAGCATTGTATATTTCAATCGCGTGAATATTTAACAACAATTAAAATTTATATGTTTGTATTAAGTGAATCAGAAAAGAATATTGGCATAATTCGTATATTATACGAGATTGAATACATATTGGTTATATATCATTAACACGTAATTCTGCATCAGTCAAAAAATAAAATTTATGAGTACAGTTTGAGAACTTATTAGAAGAGTTTTTTTTATTATGAACTTAAATAACTATTTAATATGCGAAATAAGTAGCGCTATAGCGAAATCATTCAATAATAATGTTGAAGGTATTTTCATTGACGATTGGAAGATTTAAAGTAGAAAATAAAATGAAGCCATACTTTTTCTAATTTTTGTCGTAATAAAATATCTCGCGATAGAACACATGCATTTTTGAATCTTCAATATGAACTTTCGTTCATCTTCTGTAAGCTCAGCAAAACAGTAATTTTGACCTCCATATTTTACCGATAATAATTATAAATGGTGTATTAATCTCCAGTAAACTAAATCGTTCACTATTGTATGGAAGAGCGATAATGAAGACCTTCGAGACAAGACAACATTGACTCTAAGTGAACTCGTTTATCGTTCTCATGTTAATTTAGATCTGATTGCCATAATTTAAGATCGCTTTCGATTACGATGATCTCGACACCGACAAGCCAGAAAATACTAATTCAAACATGAGAATCAAAATTTCATCATTCAATCTTCAAGAGAGCGTTCCATTTTCTTAGCGGGAACCACTGAAAAAGAAAAAATTTTGCGAACTTAATTTTGGTTTTAAGCTTTGAGATAATTAAAACGAGGACAAGTTGATTTTATTCATCAAAGCTGCATGGTCAGCTGATCATATGTAATGAGTCATATTGATAATTAACCGATAGATCCACAGTGATCTAAAAAAACATGTTGATATGTAATGATAGAGTTTTAATAGTAATGAATTGTGCCATATCTGTTTTACCATGCCTTTTATACATCGATCAGTTGATTGATCAAAACGTAGATAATTCGAATTTCCGATATGAGTGACATGAAAGGAACTTGTGTCTGTGAACTGTATATTATCTTGAGCGGTAAACCGCGGTGTAATTACTTGTAAAAAAGATTGTTCATTTTTTTTTAAAGATATTTCCGATAATCCAGGTTTGAAGCTGCACCTGCTATTTCACAATACTTGAAATTGCTATTTTGTATCGTGGTGATCTAAACATCAAAGAGTCGTACGATTTTTCTTCAAGCATTGTTCCAAAGTTACATGTTCCTGTATGATCATTTTTTCTCGAAGTCTCGATATGAAGTTCCGTTCGTTCTCGACTCGTTTCATAAAATGACGATTTGGAAGTGAGAACTTTGTGTTTTTCAACATACTGAAAACGATTTTCAGTAGCAACACTGATTAGATTCAATACTTCTGTCATCTTTCAGAGTACTGCTTATATCAAGGATAGGTAATTGAAATTTATAATGTATTCGCCAATCTCGTATTTCAAAAAAAAAACTTGGATCATTATGACTCCACATGAATATAATTGATTTAATCTGGTTTCTAGTTGATGAAATTTGCTAAGTATTGCTAGACGTCTGATCGTACTTACTAGATATATGTATGTCTGCTTTATATTGATTAGATGAAGACTATGCCATAGCATTTTGTTTTAAAAGACAGTCTAAGAATGGATTCTATGTTATTGATTGTTTTTGCATTTTTTCCGGTTTGATTAACTTGAAACCTCTTTATATTATCTTCTGTAATAGCATGAGTCGAATTCAAGATAATTCAATAAAACCATGTTCCCTGTTCAATACCAATTTGTTATTTCTGTTTATTTGATGATACAGAAGACTGTATATAATAACAATTGGTCAGAAATTCTCATGGAAAGTTGTTGTCTATGGTACGATCTACTAGGGTTTTTCTAAAGCTATTCCATCATATATATAATCAACTATCAATACATTTTTCTTTGCATCCGAATTCTATTTCTCTCCGTGATAGAAAATCAGAATGAATTGGAGATTTAAAAAAATCAATAAAAATGAACGAAAACTTAGTCAAGATTTCTCATGCACAAGTGTACTATAAATTTCATGAGTTTTTGATACAGTATCTATTGATTTTCGATTGGCACAAAATCTGCTTTGTTTCCTAATAACAAATATTTAGTATTATAATTGCACGTGCATTTAACTATTTCTTTTTCTGTGTACCATATTGAAAAATTGTTTTTCCCCTGAATTTGACATTTTGACTAATCCGAAAGTCTTATAATGTCACAAACGATGAATCTATTTGGAGTTTCAGAGTAAATATTCGATATGAACTAATTTTGAAATTGAATATAAATTACAACAACATAGACATAGTAGCCATAGAAAAATATTATAGACGTTACGTCTCATTAAAAATATTAATAGTAATAGTTTTATTTAGTTTCTCCTTAAGATTAGTATGAGAACATGAATGCATATATTTTTTGTATCCTAAGTTACAATTGATAGTATATTTTCATTTAACTAGAAACAATTCTTAACAGTAATAACAACGTTCTACTTATACTTTTATCGCCTTTATATGTTACTGTACTCTCACTTGAGTAGAAACAGTCTACTGAAATAAGAATTCGCCATGTACTTTCAAACAACAATATGCATCGTTCCATTTCTATTTAGAGTTTCATTTACGGCAACATCAGGAGTAAGAAAGAAATTTTCCAGACACCATAAAAAGAAAGTGAAGGGTGTCACAGTGTATGAAATAATTTTGCAATCTTTTTTCACTTGTTCGCTATATTGTAACACTGCAGACAACAAAAGATAAAAACAAAGGAGCGAAGCACTTAATTGAAACGAAAAATCAAAAGAAGAACTCGAACGATAACGAAAATCATAAACAAATAGAAACATCCAGAAAAAACTTCAACATACTATATTGACTCAAGGTATTTTATTTCTTTTGTCCCTTGATAAAACAACATGCACACCATGGACACAAAGAATAAGTTGACAACAACAATGACTGCTGCTAGTATTTCCATGCTATCTGACGAATATACGAGCATAAAGTCACAACAACTTCCTTATGCTCGTATGGTTCAGAACTTCATCCTGGTGTAGCTCAATGCAAATATCGATGAGATGAATAACGATGATTGTGCCAATACCATAAACAAATTAAAAGAAGCGGTAAACACAATACACTCATTCACCGATGTGGATGAAGGCATCGATTTTATAACGGATATTCAAAAAGAGAAAGTCTTTATTATCTCGTCTGGTTGTTTCGAGTAAACTACTGTTTCTATCATCCATGACATTGAACAAATTCGTACTATATATATTATGAGTGAAAACCAAGCTTTGCATGAACAATGGCCTAAAACCTGGCCTAAAGTAAAAGCGATTTTTAAAGATGCTGCTTCTATCTTTAAAGACCTGCAACAAAAAGCATAAGAATGTGATCAAAACATGGTATCGATTAGTTTTATCACCACAGTTAGTAAAAGCAACAAGCGAAATCTCGATCAATTGAATTTATCGTTTATGTATACTCAAATAATGAAAGAAATTCTATTAACTATCGATTTCAAACAACATCATATCAATGAATTTACTACATTTTGTCGTCAATTACTTGCTACTAATCAAAGCGAACTTCAAAATGTTCACAAAATCGAACGGGAATACCGTGACCATGTTGCGATATGGTGGTATACATATCCATGTTTTCTTTATTCGATGCTGAATGGATCATTACGAATAATGGAGATCGATCTTATCATTAGGATGGGATTTTTCATTCAAGACCTACACAATAACATCGCCAAGTTTCATGGTCAACAGTTTATTGGATCTTCTTCTTCCAGTTCATTTACAGTCTATCGTGGTCAAGGACTATCGAAGGCTGACTTTGATCAATTGGTCAAAGCCAAAGGGGCACTATTATCATTTAACAATTTTGTATCGACCAGTGAGAATCGTCAAGTCTCACTCAGATTTATTCGTAAATCTATTCAAATCACCCGATCTTATTGGCATCTTATTTATCCTGAAAGTTGATCCGTCAATTTCATCAACACCATATGCTGACGTTCATGATGCCAGTCATTTCAAAGGAGAAAAAGAAATTCTCCTTTCCATGCATTCCATTTTTCGTATCGGTTCAATGAAACAAATCGATGGAAATAATCGTCTTTGGCAAGTCGATTTAATGTTGACTGGTGACACTGATGCAGAACTGTATGTAGTTACTGGACATATGCGCGAAGTGATCTATTCTGGCGCCGAAGGATGGGATCGTTTGGGTACGTTACTATTTCAGCTTGGAGAGTTTGACAAAGCTCAAGAGGTATATGATATCTTGCTTGATCAAACAAGGACTGATTATAGAAAGTCACCAATTTACAAAATGCTGGGAAAGGTAAAGACGGGACAAGGTGAATATAAAGATACTATTGCGTATTTTCAACAATCTATTGAAATCCAGCAGAAGATTCTCCAACCAACAGATGTTGATTTCGCTACTACTTACAGCAATATTGGTCCGGTATATTTGAGCATGACTGACTATCCTAATGCACTTTCATATCATCAAAAAGCATTGGACATCTACCAAAAAACTCTTCCTTCAAATCATCCTGATTTGGCTGCTTCTTATAACAACATTGGTTTAGTGTATGAAGAGATGGGTGACTATTCAAATGCACTTTTATTTAGCAAACGTGCTCTTGAGATTGGACAGTGTTTGCTACCCGCAAATCATCCTCTTCTTCTAGGTTTCCGGAAGAACCTTGAATTTGTAAAGAGGATAATGTAATTGATTTTTGTTTTCTTCAAAGAAATAAAAGTAATGAAGAGAAAAAAGTATTTTTCTTCTGTTTTTATTTGAAGAGATACGCGCAGAGGTGTAGAGAAACTCCGTCTTAATGAGGACAAAATGAAACAATGGCTATTGGTAAGGTAAGCAATACATGTCTAAATGATGAACATGTATTGTAAATAGAAGAGTATCAATATTCCCATGTCGCAAAAACCGGATCATTTTTAGCGGCAAATCGGAAAAAACCACCGGTTTTTCGCTGTAAGGGAGTCGGTAACCGGATCGGTAAAACTGACGGTTTTCACTACATGGGTTGTTTGTGTTTCAGTAAGAAGAGTTCCTCCTTGTTGAATTGAATATAGAGCCATTCGGCCGCCCCGATCGAGCATACACGATCGTAAACGATCATCTACGAAGAAAAACGATGATAAACGGAAATCGTAAGCGGACTCCATATACGATGAGTGTATATGCAGTGATACGGCAAAAACGACTTTCGTATACGTAGGTCGAAAAAAACTACGGAATGATTAAGACGTAACCCTCGGTCGAACAGGCACGGTCGTAAATGATCGTATACGATTTCCGTTTCACTCCGTAACGCTCGACTTGAACGGGTGATAGAGAAGAGAATTCTTGATTTATGTGATGAATTATTCTTTCTTTTCCGATGTAAGAAAAATTCATTGCATGATTAAGTGAAGAAAGCTCGTTAGCAGAGGCCTTTGCAGCTGAAATGTAGAGCTCACGTAATTCCGACTAGCTATAATACACGATAAAATTTAAAACTAGTTGCTAAATGTCTGTAATGAAGGCGGTGTCGAGGAGAGCCGCGAAACTTCGACTGAAAACTTACACCCACTAATTTCTTCGAAAATATATGAGAATTCCACAAAAAAGAAGAGAATTCTCATCGATTGAGTGATTTGTTTCTATCTATAGTTGAATTGTTTTTACGCTTGGAAAAGAAAGAGTAATTCAGTTATTCATAGAAATAATTCATTCAACTTATGAGAGAGAATGATGATAGTTGAATACATGGGAAATCATTACTTTCTATACGATTGAAGAAGATGATTTCTTAGTTGAAAGAGAAATTCACAGTTGATTGGTATATTTATTCATATGTAAACGGATTTGTCTATGAATTAATTATTTAACATGAGAAAAAATTTTAAAAGTTAAAATAATTGAGAAATGAAAAAGAAAAACGTTAGCTTACTGGTTTCTTTGATATGACATGAAGTATAAACGGACGAAGTGTGTGACTATGATCATTCTAAATAATTTGAATTTCGTTGTTGTGCATCATTCATTTAAATAATATTTGTTTGAAAAATAAAATAAGATAAGTTGAATTCAAAAATTCATGCATCAATCTGTTCAGCAATTAATATTGTTTAGGAAAATGTAAAAAGAATACACAAATTGATTCACTTTTTTCTATGATCCAAATCTTAAAACTTCAAAATCATATTTCATTTGATATCTTTATCTTTGAGATTCGCTTTTTGGGACGGAAATTAGGTTTCTTAGTTTTTTCATTATCTTTGTACTATTCTCAGAAAAGCCCAACAATGACTTATTATTTTTATAAGAACCCTAGTCTGCTTTATGAATAATATTTCCGATAAGTTATCTAAAACAAGTTAATAAACCAAAACTCAAGGGAAAAAAAACTAATTTTCAGATATGTTTGCGATTACTGCTTCATGCGTCATTCACATTCCCACTATGTCAAACTGAGCAGCATGGATGCAAGCCGACTATGAAATGAAGCAAAAGTTTAAGAGTATCATCTAATCAAAATTACTTGGTCAATTTCTAGCTTCATATTTGGAAAAAACTCATGTTTTCGTGAAACTTTCTAATAATTTCTTCAAGTAAATTTCGTTTTAAACCAGCTTTGAATAACTAACAATAGAAACTTCTCAAATTTATCTCTGAGACACTACCTTTAATTTATCCATTTCTCAAGTCAAATACTCAGAGAAAATATTAGGTATTGAGATTTCTTGAAGAAATTGTTGCCGTTAAAAACGCTACAGTCACACTTGTCACTATTCCACGTAATTCCTATTCACTCAATAGTTTTATGAATATTGAAAAATTTCATATCTTCGATTTCGTTCTTATGACTAATATTTTTTTTCTCATTCTTCTCTCTTGCAATCCTATGTCTTCCAACATATGTTCTATTTTTCCTTTTTGATCAACTTTATTGTCATATTAATTCAGCACTAGTTTTCCGTTCATTCAGTTCAATTATTGTCTTCAAAAAACAAAAACAAAAACATAAGCAACACTAGTACAAAGAAAGTCCAAACTATCTTTTATACAAGTGTACAACATTACAAAAGATAATCATTCGTCGATAACCAATAAAAAACTGGACTCAATATTTGTTAATATGTTATATCAGTGCGATACGAGCATTCATTTTCTTTTCAATAAACATCTTTAACATCAATCTAACTATTCATCATTATAAATTATTCAGCCGTTGATTAATATTCATTGAATGCTCGCATAACAATTTTTACAAGTTACTATTCATATAATTAATATGACTAGTTTCAATCAATTGTCTTTCGATATCACATGATGGTTCATCACTAGCTAAATCACAAATATCTAACTGAGACATAAAATTAGAAAAGTAAACAAAGAAAATTTTCATCTTCCATCAGACATGACTCAGAATAGGTTCTTCATTAAATTCATTCATTGTAATAATGAATGTAATACAAAATCCATCATGACGTGATCTCTATGATGTTTCATTAAAATTGCCTTGTTTTGATCTTGAACGATTACTCAAATCGCCTATAGGTCTATCATCAACTTCTTTCCACGTCGCATACAAACTTTTGAATGCTAGATTTTTAATCATTGTTGCATGAATATTTCGCGTATGATGAAGATTTCTATGAGCTTTCATATATTTTAGTTAAACAAATATATCAAGACTATTTTCAGGACAGAGTGCAAACAGTCATATCGAATATGAAATAATATTCATCTAAATAAATAAACCTTTCAAGCTGCTTTATTGTTGAATATGTATTCAGTCAATGAATTCGATACTAGAAAAATAAGAGTATACTATAATTAGTTTGGCAAAGACTATTACGTTATTATCTTTAAAAATATAACTTCGAACAACTATTTCTATGTTACAATCACACTCAATTGTTGGTATTCAATTCTTAAGATTAATTTAGATTAACGTTCATGAGAAAAATAAAATTCGTTAAAAATAAAACGGTGAATTGATTGACTAGTTAAATGGAGTTCTTCATGAGTATGTTTTTAATCCTTTCGTTGTTTCTTCCCATGTAAAAATAAATCAAGAAAAAACGGGATTTTAATCGATTTTTTTGTGATTAAAAATCTATTAAAATGAGACGATTTTAATCAGATTTTAATCAGATTCCTTGATTTTTAATTGGTTTTAATCGCGTTAACGAAAAACTGCGTTTTTCTCGAGTTCTAGCCCAGAAATCATAGCTTTTTATNCAAAAGAAAGGGTTTGAGAGTTGACTATGATGGATCCTCATACAGTGAAATAAATAGTCCAAAAAACTGAAGGGCTACAGACATCCTAAAAAGAAATTAATGATGTTTGGAAATACTCGAACCCGAACTTTTGGAGTGCTACTATGATTGCCTATGTATCTCAAAAAACGCTTAAGCAATCATATAAATAATCACCACTGTCCGAATTGGTTAGATAGTTCCAGAACTTGAACTGTACATTGGGTTAGCTGCATGCCTAATTACACATTCATTTTTTCTCCTTGTATTATCTTCTTTATGAATATATGACGAAAGTCAATAGTCGATTTCCTACTTGTTGAAAAGATAATACTTTTTTTACTTCAACGAACATTTACCATCAATTGAATTGCTAAGGATCTATAACAGACACAAATATTCTTAAAATCAAAGTTGATATCTTAACAACTTCAAGAAGTTTGAAATATGAAAAACATCAGTTCTGATCGGAGTGTTTTTACAGACGGTCGAAATTTATATCACATGTTCTTTAAAAATATTTTCATTGTATTATCTTTAGAAAAATAATGAACGCTTCTTTATGGAAGGTTTTATTAAAGATTTTTTGCAACCAGTAAGTTTTAAAGAATTACATAGAACTTTATATAATAAAAACTCTCCTGTTTTTTTTTCTAGTCTGAAGATCGATGTTTGCCAACTTATTACAACAATATGTGTCTTCGTCTTATACCTTTAAGTTAATCTCTTTGATGAATCCGTTTTGGTCCAAAACGTCGTTTATGTGATAAGGGAAATTGATAGAATCCAGCTATCTATGGATTTGAACCACCTATAAATGCTAATGTTTCAGTTGAATAGATTAATGAACATTTTCTTAATTGAATTTTTGTGTGATTATATGCATTAATAAAATAAGGCATTAGTTGATGTTGATATTCGTTGAAAAAAAAAGACGTGAAAAATAATCTTTTTGATTTTGATATGATGTTGAAAATCGAACTATGAGGACAAAAAAAACAATCTATGCGCGTTTATTTCAATTTAGATATTTGAATTAATAATCAGTCGAATGTTTGAAAATATGTCAAATGCTCGTATTGTTGATACAGTTTTACCAATCGCTCAAAATCTTTTTTGTGCACATGGTTTGAATATTCATTCAAATTTATAATTTTTTTCTTTTAAGTAATATTAAAAATTTTTTTTATCTAGCAGCACCAGTAACATTTCCATATCATATATTATTTGTATATGGAAAAAAATTAGGAGAAAAATCAAATTTTCGTCAATTGCTTATTATGGGAACTCTTGGTAAAAAGAACAGAAAAATAAATTTTCTTCAATTAAATTTATTTTTTAAAGGAAATATTTATCACATACGTAAAATGGAATGGTGTTTTGCAAATCATTTTACATCTTATATAGAAGTTTATCTTTGTCTTGATGGAGAAAAACGACAATTACCATCACCTGTATTTAATTGACGTTATCCAATCGATTTAATACACAAACCTATTGATAATATTCTTTTCTTTTGTGTTCTTTTTTTTTTAATTTTTCTTTGAAAATATCATTTAGACTGATCTTATTTCCTTAACTCCAGTGCACCGATCTATGAAAAAAATTCATATCAATACAATATTGATTGGAGTTATAATAAATTTGCTAATCCATCTTTACAATTAATACATTGTTTAGCTATTGAAATATTTTTTTATATGGGACAAGAAAATTTTAATCCATGGAAATTATTTGCTCAACCATTTATAGCAGCGTAAGTTCATTTTCAGATAATATTTTGTTCAATTTTAGATCAAAGAAAAATCAATCATCGGGCTCTTTACAAATGTTTTGTCAGTTTATGTTAGATTTGTTGGTTTCTAACAAAGAAGGATAAGAACTAGTCAGTTCATAGACTAAAGTTTGTTTATTTTTTAATCGGAAGCTTACCTCAAGGAAAAAAACAGCAGATCTCAAGGTTTTGAAAGACTTTATCACGGTTCAAGTTCATGAAGCTTGCTGTTTCCCTTTGGCTTACCTACTTACTGACCCATGAAAATCATGGCACAATCGTATTCTTCTCTATAGATTCCTGTTTATCTAATCTGAGTAAATTATTGCTTTTGATCAAATAGACCGGTCTCTTTCCTACGAATATCTCTTAGTGGATAAAATTCATAGTCTTTAATTACTTGAAAACACTTATTTATTTTAAAATAAAAGGACAACGGATCTGAATAAGTTAACGGACTAAACAAAGGTAAAAGCTACATCACTCTTCGCTCTTAGAATTTCGAAAATAAAATTGATTTTTGTTTTAGAAGGTTAATATGAAAAAGATAGATCTTGAGGGTGTGGGGGGTGGGGTTTGGGGTGGGTGTGGGTGTGGGTGTGTGTGGGTGTGGGTGTGGGTGTGGGTGTGGGTGTGGATGGGTGTGAGTGTGGGTGGAGGTAGGTGTGGATGTGCAGAAAAGCAACAACTATAGTCACGTTCATAAGAACTCCCAGACACATATCTGCACCCGCACTCGCATCCACATCCCATACCCACACTCTACCCACACACGCGCCCGCCAGCACCCACATCCAGACCCACCTTATGCCCACCCACATCCCAGAATGATCATTTTATTTGAAATTCATTAAAAATAATCACCGATCCAAAAGACAGCACGACCTTCAGAGTAAGCAAGTTTGATCTTCTCGTACACTTCTTTTGGTAATCGAATATTACGCATCATTAAATCTTTACTGATCTTGATTTGGAGAGGACCAGCCCATTCAGTCAACTCGTCAATCTTCATGTATTGTGGTAATGCGAGCAAGCAAATAGGTTTTGTTGATCCATAACGTTGTCGAATCTCGATTGCCGCTAGAGACAATAGTTTCGTCTCAAGATTAAAATTTGGTGCGCACCACTCCAATACACATATATCCTTTTCACTATCGGGTTTGCCGATCACCACATAACCTTGTTCTTCCTCATGTTCATACAGACACACAATAGCGGCATTGTTTTGCCACCTCTTTTTCACCCAGTGTTGGAATAGTGTGGATGGAGATCGATCAATTTGATAGATGCGTGGATTATTCGAATGAATTTTGAGCAAGAGCTCAATATCTTCAGATGAGATATTAGATGCTGAACGCCATTCAGCATTTATGCTGGACGAAGTAATATTTTTCCAATTGATTATGATTTGCGAGGGGCGAGGTACTGATTCCCATCCTAGAACCGTGTAATGGTTGGGTTTCTCTGTACTCAACATTGAAATATCGAATTCATTGTTTTTCTCCATCCTATCAATAGCCATTCGTAAAAGATGTCGAGACAGGCCGCGTCTTCGATATTTGTCTACAGTAGCCACATTGCCGAAACCACCACATGAATATTTCTCATTATTTTCGTTTGATCGTAATGCCAAACGTCGAATATGTACTACGCTCACTAATTTATCATTTTGCCATGCACCCAATGTATCACCTTCTTGATAACATGGTGATGCATCTAATGAAAAGTAACTTTTTTCCATATCAGGATTAGTTTTAAAAATAGGACACACCAAATCTACGACCTGTTGTTGCTCATGCTTTTCTACACGACGATAGGTAATCGACGAGATATCAAAATTTAATATGGAATTCATCGTATTACTCGTGCAGTATTTAATTGTCAAAGTTCACACCTACCAAAGATGTAGAGAAATTAAATAATATATACAGCGTCAAACCCTAATTTGATCATGATTTCTTTTTATCTTCGCAGAAAAAAAGCATGTGGTTTCTCTCCAGAACCTCCGTTCGAGCTAATTTTTACTTTTCTGGAATAAAGCAAACATTTCTCTATCATCTCATATAAATTGTATTTAAAAATAGGGAATTCCACTCTTCGCCAATACATCCCATCGATTCTTGCCAATATTGACGAAGATCCACTAGAATTTTGCCAATTTGCTTATCTCTTGGACATAGACTAGAATAATTATATCAACAATATTTATGGACGAAATAATTTCTTTCTTGGAATTTTTCCCACTCATATTGTTTCTAGAATCAAGAATTTAGTGGCGACTGTATTTTTGTTAATAAGATAAATATGATCGAAATAGAGTATGAGCTTTTCTATTTATATAAAGACTAGTTCTCTTTGTTTGGAAACTTTATAATGCTATTTGGTATCTTTATGTTTATCATTGTTATTATTCATGTTAGAACTCTGTCCTTTCTATCATACGATTTACGTCGTCGAACAAGATGAATACAAAAAAGAAAACAAATGTTCTTTTTTTTCCAGCTTTCTTCTGAGATCAGAAACAATACTGTTATTGCAAAGAATTTTATTCTCACCTCAGACAGTATCTGTTAGAAGGTGCATTTCGACGTGTAAATTGATGCATTAAGCCGCGACGACAACAACTGGAAGTTTTCGATGATGTTTTATAAAAATTTCTTAGCTTCGAGCAATTTCTCAATGGAAAGTAGAGAAAACGATGATAGAGATGTTGCTGATAAAAGACTAAACAAGCACAGTCCCGAAACCTAATCCCGAGTATCGAAAGTTTTCAAACATCAAGTGTCTCTTTTTGTGTTCTAAGTGTGCCACTGGAGTACTGGAAACGGCTGAGAATTTTTTTAAAGGCAGCAGCTTAATCGATTGGTTTACATATTTGTGCTTATTAAAGATGGTTACCTATGTCTGACTATCTATAATGAATAAATGTAAATTGTCGGAATGTGTATTGATGGATAGACAGGTGACTCTTAGAGATTAATTTTATGTTAAAATCGCTAGAGTGACAAAAAAACGGCTTACGAGGAAGTACTCGAGGTGCTCAGCTCCGTTTTGATTCATCCATATCTCATTCCATGGAATATATATTGAGATAAAAAAATCATTGGGTGTGAGTGTGGAGTGTGCGGTGTCGATGTGGATGTGAGTGCAGCTCTACATATCATGCACACCTACACACACCGTCATCCAAAGCCCACATTCACACCCCACATGTCTAAAACAAATATTATTTCTATTTTAGACGTTTACTTGCTTGTTTGTTCCATTTATAAAACACTTAATTTATAGCTATTTCTATATAAATTACAAAGTTAAAAAATTTCATTATCACTAAAGCACATGATCTTTTAAGTTGAGTTTCAACAATCTTTCAAAATCTCATCTCAATCTTTCTCCGCAAAACGAAAAAACGCGCAACTTCATCTATGAAAGAACACTTATCTATGCTACCAAGCACACGACTTTCATAAAGAAAAAAAGATGTTAAAGTGACGTCATTCATTGTTTGTTATACAAGGACTTTGCCTTTTTCATCATTCGATGTAATATCGGTAAAAGTACGCTTTTTTTTCTTTCCAACACAGTTCTATGCCAAGATAAGAAATAAGATTTTTATTTGAATTGCGAACATATCAACTAACATATTCTGCAGTACTAAGTCTATTTCATCACAACTACACACATAAATACTGTAGAAACTATGGATTAAAGTGATTTGCTTTCACATTTATCTGTACATACAATCTAGATTACAGATGTATAGAATAAGGTTTAATTTCGGTCATAATTGCAGCCTTCACGAGTGTGATGGTCATCAGGATTTGATCTAAAGACTGTGTTTAGTTCTTCTATTGTTTCAAAGCCAATGTTTTATTCGTTCTACTAAGTTCCAAATGGGCTGGAGCAGTCATCCTATTCCAAAATGTTGCAGATTGCAGATATGAGTTCCGTCCCGGAAGCAGTTTCACCTCGGAATCAGTTTCATGCAATTCCAGGAACTCGAACATTACGAAACAAAGTCGTCTTGAGGGTGTGGATGGTGTGGGCGTGGGTGTGGGTGTAGTTGTGGGTGCGGGGTGTGGGTTGTGGGTGTGGGTGTAGTTGTGGGCGTGGGTTTAAGTGAAGAAAAGAGATCCATACCCATACCCACACCCACGCTCACATCCACATCCACATCCACACCCACACCCACACCCACACCCACACCCACATTCACATCCACACCCACACCCACACCCACACCCATACCCACACCCACACCCACACCCACACCCACACCCACACCCACACCCACATCCACATCCACATCCACACTCACACCCACACCCACCCACACCCACACCCTCGTTTATCTTCTATTTAATAATGTCTGTAGTGCAGTTTATTTAATGGACTTTGTCGTGTGTTATTATGGAATTTGTTGATATACCTCTATACACCAATCCAAATTGATCTCCTTAATTCGCAAAAACTTCTTCTCATAATAGGTGAAATAACGTCCACCGTGTCCATTCGTATAAATGATAACCGTCCATATTTTTCCATAAGTAGAGTCGAGCCACTTTTTAACATCTTGAGCGATTTCATGCATATTTGATGATCCGTGTGTGTCAATCGAATTATTGATTGTGCTTAATATATTGATTTTCATCGTATCTGTGATTCCTGATTCTTGTTTTTCAATTTCCAATCTCCCCATCGTGACTAGTGTGGAGAATAAATATCTAGAGTAGTAATTTTTCGACTATACCGGGAATAGAGTGTATTTATATTGTCGACTTACTTGAATTCATCTGAGTAAGAGTTTAGGTGTTTGTGAGTTCGAGCTATCATGACTGGCTTCGACGTCACTCAGCATATCGTATCAAATGACTTCATTTCGGTTTCCGCTACAATGAAGACTCCTTGTTGTCTGATCTTGGAATAGCGCTATTTCAAAGCAAAACATAAACAAGTCCTCGAGAGAGACGAAACCGAGTTCAAGCCATCTTATGAGCTCTTTCAGCAAGGTGGAAGCCGGTCACAGTAGCTCTACTCACTACACATCCTCGCCCCTACTCATACCTATTAACTAAAAGCTCTCTTGTATCATCTCTTGTTTTCCATTCGATTTCCTAGGCAGGCATCAGGAGAACTGCTTCGCCTGCGCATCGCAGAGCACAACTCCTTCCGTTAAGGAAAACGCGAAAGAATGTGGCAAGGAACGACAAATGAACAACTCTTCTTTTTGAGTGATGCTAACCAGCAGATTAAAAAGTAAAATCCAATTGAGGTTGTGGATATGAGTGACGATGATTGGGCGGCTGAAAGGAAGATTCTTGCTCACTTGCACGCAAACTGTAGAAATGTCACCTTTTCCAATATTTTATCCGAAACCATTATTTGCTCTTAACCCCCGTTGGCTTTCTGTATAACAAGTTTGACACTCATTTCTAGTTGTGATTTTGGGCATATTACTTATGAGGAACATTCAGGTCACCAGAAATGAGCTAAAAAGATTTTATATTGAATACCAAAGTGAATTAAGAGTAAATAATGCTTTATAAAGCAAACTACTATGAAAGTCAAAAAAACAGAAGATTTTGAAAATTATGAGCAATGTTATTGCTCGATGATATCTTTTCTCTAAAAAATATCAAGTATTATCGATAAAAGTTGATAGAGGTTTCAACGAAACACTGAGGAAGCTGTTTATTCTGACCAAGTCATGGAAAACGAGATTTCACTATTCGTATTTTCAAAAATAAGCTGAAAAGAAGTCAAAAATTGTCCAATCGGTTACGTCTTGTAACCGAAAGAGAAATATTCTACCTGTGGCGTAGCGAGGAATTTTATAGTCATGGACCATTTCCCAGCTAAATTATTTTGAGGAATGAGCAACAATGGGTAAATATTTCTAGGAAAATTTAAATAAAGTGTCGAGAGCAATTTTATGTTGGGTACAATACTGATTAAAGATAACAATTGCAAGTAAGAATAGAACAAAATTGGATTCAATCAAGTAAAAGATTACAAAACTAAACAAGTGCTTACTGCTGTTGGATTCATCTTGATTTAGTTAGTTCAACATCTATGTATAACATAGGCAAAATCGAATTTTAGGTAAAATAGTTTACAATAGAAGATCGTGTACTGTAGGCTAATGAGATTAATCGTATGTAGATCATATGAATGATAGCACTGCCAAACTAACTAAGATAAAATATGAAATGCGCATAGCGTACACAAATTGAGATATTCGAATTTCAAGATATTTTTCTCTATCATGCGACCACTGTACAAAATTGTAACAGCATTTACTTTTTCTTTTTCCTCGTGGTGAATAGAGCAAGACGAGTTACATAAAGAAAAATAATATTACGCATATTAAAAAATCAACTTTACAACCATCAGAATGAGGTGTCTGCTACCCTTATATTTATCAATAATGCTTTCTTGCACCTCGTAAAATTGGTTTTTAATATGCACGATATTGTTTTTTCTTATGTAGCTCGACCTGCTCTATCCAACCATGACGAAAAAAGAAAAATAAATGCTGTTGTAATTTCGTAGTTTGAGCACATGGCAGACGAAATATCTTGAAAATTGAATATCTCGATCTGTGTACGCTATACTCACCTCCTATTCTACAATAGTTAATTTGGCAATGAGATCATTAATTTGATCTGAACATGATTAAAATTTTTATCTTATAGTATACGATTTTTCATTCTTAGACAAATTTCCTTTTTAATCAGACGACAAAGTAACTAAGGATTTTCATTTCCATTAGTAGAACATAGTAAGTATATTTCTTCTAAGTAGATGGAGTACTTATTTTAACTTATTCATATTCTAATATGTGTACGAATAGCTTCTGCACCGACATCATGAACTGATGTTCGAAAATATTTTATGAGCAAGCAAATCATTATATTAATTTGTGGAACATCAAATTCTAAGAGAAAATATTTATTACTCTACCCTACGAAATACATGAGTAAACAGGTCCTTCACTGTTTTCAGCCGCAACATAAATCACTTAAAACTTAACAACATAACATATTCATACTTTAACTATTATCCATGAGCCAGGTCAGATTCAAACACAAATAAACATAAGTCTAAAGATTCTTTTTATATCATAGCTTCCTAAACTAATTAGATTTCAATCGGATATACTTGCGAACCCTACAACTTCCAAAAATTCAACAAAAGCTACGCATTACTTGCAATGGAAGTGTGTGACCTGTTGAGCGGAAAAGTTAAACATATTAGAGTCAAAAGAAAGCTTTCAATAAGAAACTAACGAATTCAAAATATGAGCTGCCTGTGGCTTGTCTGAACAGAGATATTCAATTTTTAAGTTATGATGTATTTCAGTATGGAAACATGGTGATATATGAGCTATTCCTACAAAATTTTCAATATAATCGTCAAAATTTTTCAGAGAGCAAGTTGTAAAATCTTTGTGAGCTTTGTTTATAATATTTAAGGTTCTCTACATATGACTTTTTCTGAAATTTAATAGAATCAAATAGGAGATATACCGATGATTACGTAAAGAAATCTACCTTTTATCAATATTTTTGACTTTATTTTACATGAAATTAACAAATTAAACAAAATAATATTTTACAAGACGTACTATAGATGTAGATGAAGATCTTCAATCAAGTTATAATAACAAAAGTGTCTTTTACACCAAGGACACGTGAGAAGAGTTCGTTCCTCACAATTAATAACTGAACAATAAAGGTCATAGAATTTTAAGCAAACGTCCTTTGGTTTGTTGATTTCACCTATTGTTTTGTTGAGTATTTTGGCTTGCACGAATCCAGACTTAATGAAAATTTCTAAATTGTGGAGTAGATAGTTGATTGTGAATGATAGAATGAATATTTATGAAATGTTGACGATTCTTCAAGTTCATCTCTGTTCGATTGATATGAACATAATGCTCGATTTTTTTATGAATAAATTGCCATGCACGAAATAAGGACAGATCTTACGGTTGAATATAACCAGTTGATCCTTTATGGAAAATCAATAATTGGCTGTTTTGATGTGGAAACACTGCTCTAAATTTTTTTAGATCGGCTTGACTTGTCTAACAATCAAGAAAAAGAAGAAACTTTTCTCACCAAAGGGCGTAGATCTTCATCTAAAAAAGTACGGTGTTTTTCATCGCTGCTTTTGCCAGACTTCGAAGCCCTTACTACGACATTTGATGGTGCAATTAAATTTTTCTCTACGCTTTTACCAAACTCACTTCCTTTTCTTGAAGAATGAGGAAGAATTTGCCTAATAATTGACCATCAGCTGATGTAACAGGCTGCCCGGTATAAGAGTGTGTTATATCATTCTTCTTTTTAACAGCTATTTCTGTTGTGCTTTCACCAGCAAACGAAAGAGTTCTTGAAGAAATATATTCTTGTTGGAATGAACAATGATCACTGTTCAAAATCTGACGGGAAGAATAATTCAAAATTAATGAGGGTGTGGAGTGTGGGTGTGGGTGTTGGCATGGAACATGAGATCTCTCCTACGCATAGCCACACCCTACCCACCCACCCACACCCACACCCACACATTGGTTTCGTCAACTGTAAAACCACATTGGAACCTATCGCTTTTTTGTCTTTTCTGGCCAGGTTGTCGTCAAATATACGGAATTGATATCGACACACATCCAAAACTTTATTCCGTATTTATCGAACTTGTTTTGGCATATACTGACGAAACGGACATTTTCCTCGAAATCCCATCAAATGCTCATCAATGGTAACATTAGGACCCGATAAATGATATTTTGTTAAGTTGTTTCGGAAATCTGACCAGATTTCTCAAATTGTTGAAAATTTATCTGTTTGCTTTCTTTCGTCTCTTGTTGCTTTATCATCAAATCTTAGATAGAAAGCAATCATTTCAAAGCGATTGCGAGACATGGTAGTCCTAAATATTGGAGATTGTAGTGGACTCATGCTCCATAATGATCTGATGCTTTTTCTTGATTTTTCTAATAAACCGGCTAGTATTAGAAGCCCGATGAAACCTTTCAACTCAATCATTGCTATTTCTTCAAATTTATCATCAGAAGTGCAGTTTTCGTTCCCGTGAATATTTGTATATAGTAAAATTTTCTTTAACATTTGCTCCCATATAAAGCATAGAAATGAATCTTCAACAGAGGCTACATTCTTGGTAATTTCTGCGGGTTTAGGTGTTTCACTTATATTAGTACATAGCTTTGTATTTAGCGAATAAGACGGAGTAGAAAAACAAATCATACCGGATCTGGAACTAAATGAACTTTNAACACAACAATCAGATGATATATACATCATACCTGGATATGCTGGCTTATGGAGACCATCAGCTGATGATGATGATAGTACGCATGCACCAATAACTAATGACGAAGATGATAAACAACAATCTGCTACAACTACAGTTAAAACTCGAGTAAGTTTATAAGAATTAAAAATTTCTTTTGAAAATTCGACAAAAAAAAATTGCCAATTAAAGATTTGATTCAATTTGATTTACATATTTTCTTACCCATCAATCAGTGCTTGAAAAGATTCTTTGTTTGATATAGATAAGAGAAAATAAAAGAAGTCTGAAGTTAATCAAAATAGAATCAAATTCATTGTTATTCTTTTTATACTTGAAAAAGGATACGGAATATTATTGAATATCATAACCTTTGTTTTGTTTCGTCTTTGTTGAAGGTTAAAGAAAAAACACCACTAACATTTTTATCTATTGATTTATCAATATATATACTAATACAAAGAGTTTTATAAGTCCAATCAATAAAACTAATAATCAAATATTTTTAAATGCAAATTATTGAAAATGAAGAACATGATAAAATACTTTATTTGATATTTACATATATCTTTGATTAACATAGATTAGTTATATTTCACTTTTTTCTTTTCTTTTTTTTTTCTTTATGACCTTTCTTTTATCGTTCATAAATGTTATAAATTGAAAAGAGTAAATCATTTATATTTTTATCTAGACAATTGTTCGAACGACAGATCCTGCTAAACTTCAGTCATTTTTACAACAACATCAAGATATAACAACTCAAGATATACCACTTCGATCAGATACATATGATATATTTAATAGACCATTGAATGAATTTTCATTTGATGTATCAGAATCGGATAGTTTTAAAACTTGTACATCAACAATAAATTCTTCACCAGTATCCAAACAACAAAAACAGTCCGAATTATATAATTTACCAATAATTGAACAAAAAGAACATCAAACAAGTCCAGATGAAAAAATATTTCTTATACGTGAACGTGAACGTGGTGTTTCATTACCTGTTACAATGAAAATAGATTATGATGATATGGCATTACGTTTATCATCATCAACACCAATTGATACTCAATTATATTCTACAACACAAACAGATTTACCACCATCATCGGCAACATTTAGTGAACTAATAGAAAAAACAACATCAAGTAGTCGTGAAAGCACACAATCATTAAGTAGTAATGAAAGTGAAAAACAAAAATTTCCTTCACCATCTTGGTTAAATACCACGAATACAACAATTACAATCATTGAAGGACCTGATGGACGTAAGTAATGAAACATTATAGATGAAGCAGACAAATAAAATGAGAATCAATGTCGTCAATCAAATGTTAATGTGTTTGCATTTAATAAATAGACAGAGATCAGATGTCTATCGTTCTTCTCTTTTTTTTCCTACAACGATACTTTATTCATTTCATATACAATGTTCTTTGGCTGCTAATGCATCAAACATTCGATCTCAAGTGGTATAGTTGCTATTGCTGCGCGTGTGCATACTTGAACTGCATCAATGTTGTGAGCGCGCTTTTTTTTAACGAATATGTTCCTCCTCTCTTTTCTACGGTTTTACCTTTTCTCGTTCTTTCTTCAAGTAGTTGCGATTACTTGTGCATATAAACCTATGCAACAAAATGTGATAGTTTTATTTAGAAAAAAAATATATTTATGCCGACTGTTCACTTATCAGTCTACATGATTGCATATTATGGGCAGTTATGAGACAGTTGCATCATATGTCTTCAGTTTCTTTTTCTCTCTTCATTTTCTATTGAAACATTGTAAAAAAAAACAACAAGGACTAATAGCAGTTGATGGAAGCCTATGACACGGCCTTCGACTGAATATATGTGTATGTCGTTATGTTGCCATTGTAAAAAAAAAAGAAAGAAAAAAACTAAAAAGTCAGTTTCTCTATTCATTTCAACAAGGGAAGCGCGGAAAAAATTTGTTGCGTTTTATCATTATACGAAAAGTATACTTGTTTCGTTTGCTGCTGTGTATGTTTATCTACCGTCAGCATGCGAGCACGCATATACTGGCGTGATTGTTTTCTACCACCATCATCATCAAACAACCTCTATAACGACGAAACGAAAGAGAAAATAGAAGAGGAGAGAGACACATAAAGGGAGAGACAGAGAGAAAAAGAAAAAAAAACGAAAGAAGAGAGAAAAAATGAAGGCTGATTCAGCATTGTCCACTATTTGAGATCATTCTACTTTTGCGTATGGTATAACAAAAAAAGTCAAAGAAGTATAATATCAAAAGAGAAGAAAAAAACGTAACATAAAGATTAATGACGACAGCAACAGCATCGATTAATAATACAACAGGAACTTTTATGTTCCATCCTCGACCAGCCGTTTTTGAACATCCTATTACTTATGATCTTCCTTCATTAAATAATTCCACATCAATAATAAATAACAAGTCTGATATAAATGATTTTTCTCAGTATTATATTAGTGAGCAATAATTTTCGATTTATTTATTTTTATTCTGTCTTTAATATTTTTTTTCTTATTAATAATTATTCTTTTAATAGCTCTTGAATCTCGTACAACTATTCATAAATCAGCTAAAGGACCAATATCTATTTCTGAATATGACGTACAAGGAAAATATATTATTGTTGAAAATACAAGTCGTTCAAAAAGTATGGTACTTGCTGGTTGGACAATACGTCAGGAAAGTGATAATGGAGACATTTTAACATTTACATTTCCTGAGAATTGTCTTTTAAGACCAAATCATTCATTAAAAGTAAATATTCGAAATTATTTATTTGATAATTATTTATTTAAAATTTATATTCCCTATTAGATTCTTACTAAACCAAATGAATCAGAACGAAAAAATAGTGATCTTATTGCTTCATCGTTGTCTTCATGGCATACAGGTTTAAATTTCGTTACAACATTGATCAACGCTGAAGGCAAGGTAAAATATAAACACTTCGAATTTGATGTCTTTCGGATATATAAAAAGGCAAATGATAGTTCTTATAAGTTGAAATATTTGGCAACAAAATGAGACAAAAGTATATCGAAGTAGAAGATTACCTTGGATTTTCGACTATTGATTCACATAACTTTGATATTATGTTTCTTGATGACAAAGATAATTTTATTTTATAGAAAATTTAATTATTTTATTTTTATTTTTAGGATCGTGCTTCATTAACCAAAAAGACAATGTTCTCTTGATAAATGAATAGATCCGTTTTTTTTTTTTTTTTTTCTTTTCCTGTACCTACATTAATTATTTTGGCTTTTTATGTCAATTTTTCTTTCGTTTTTCTTTGTCTATGTATAATTGCAAACAAACATTTTGTCTTTTCCAAATAATATTATTAATCACCCTCACACATATTTTTTCATGCACAACAAGAAGATGAAAAAAAAATTGATAGTTTCTAGTGAAATTTCTTTCCTTTCTTTCTTTTTTTTTTTTTGGTTTTTTTAATTTTACAAAAACCCCGATTTATGTTTTGTTCGCTTCTTTTGTCTTGTATTAATAATTATTAAGCAATACCAATATTGCTATTCGACCTATCATGTCCACTGCTATTAAAATTAGATTCTTCATCAGTACCATCATGTTCATCTTCAGTCTCAATATACAATCGTTTGTAATTAGGTATCAATGATACAATACTACTTAAGACAAATAGAAGCATAAATATCATTAACATACGTGGTCCCCACTGTTTATAAATAAAACCAACTGTTATTGGACCAAACGCACGTGCTAATGAACCAGCACTAGTAAATATACCCATCATTGTACCTTGTGGACGATTACCAAGTTTTTTTGAAAATATTGAATAACAAATAACATTACAAATTGAAAAACCTATTGTTATAACAACTGATGCTGTTATATATTGCCATAATTGTACACGTGGTACTGTATAACACCAATGATAATCAAGTGGACAACCTTTTTCATCAGTATCAGCAGTTGTTGTTAGTAAACTAGACGATGATGTTGTTGTTGGTGAAGTAACAGTTACAGTTGTAGGTGTAAATGCTAAAGGAAGAACAAGACGAGTTATACATAATAAATGAAATGGAAATTTTATTTGTTAAAGTTTACACGCAATTTGAACGCTTGGATAATCAGTACCCCATGGCAAAAAAATGAAATAACCGAGAAAGGATATAATCATACCAAGTAATGCTAATGCACGATCTTGAAATCTATTTTTGAAATATATTTCAATTTCATAAGTTTCTTTTAATTAATATTACCGTCTAGCTAATAATTTCGTAACTATTAAAACTACAACCGACATACAACCAAGTGCACCAAGTATATAACCATTATTTCTTGTACTTTGTTCTTTTGACCATGCATACATATCAATTGAAAGTGGTGAACCTATTCTAAAAATGATATTTAAATGAAGTATATATTCTAGATTATCGAAATATTTTTCTATTATTTAAAAAAAATGAAAGCATACGTTTCATAGTTTGTAAATGTTAGATAAGCAACAAAAAACATATAAAGACAACATAAAATAGCCATTAGTTGATCATTACGTTCAGTTGATGATAAAGCTAAAAAATAGATAATACAATATTTTAAAAAACATTTTTTAAATAAAAATCACTTTGATCTGATGCCGTTCCACTGACACTCTTTTTCGATGATGACACGATTCGTGCATCTTTAAATATAATTAAGAACATTACAAGGTTAATGCCACCTGTTAAAGCACTGAAAAAAGCTGGAGCTGTATAAATATTAAAATAGAGCTTTGAAAACAAAAAATGATTGTGTAAAAATAATTTATTCTTTAGAACAAAGAGAAAATACTTTACCCAGCGTTTATGTACAGGACCGGGATAACTAAGAAAAGCAAGAAGAGCTTGAATTACTAAATTTAAAAAAACATATATATATTAATCATAAGTAAATTTTAGTTTTTTATTTATTAAAATTACGAGGTCCAAGAATAAAACCAACTCCTTGATAAGCCGATAGATTAGCCATAACATTTGTTCGTTCTGTAAGTGTGGTTGCCGCTGAAGCATAAGATCTCATTATCGTTGAATTAGCTAAAAAGTATAAAAACCAAATTCTAATGTGATTTTTCAGTTCGTCAATTATAATTAATACGGACCTGCACCGACTCCCATAATAAAACGAGCCAGCATAATCCACCATTTATTCGAAAAGACAAAATTATTTATACTCTGTATATAAGCATAAAGAACATTAGCTACAACAATGAGTGCTGTACTTATAACTAATGGTAGTTTATTTTCATTAGTTCGATTTGCAATATAGCCAATTATAGGTGACGCTATTAATTGACCAATAGAGAATGCAGCAACAAGCCATCCAAGAAAAGGTGCGTCGGCATGAGGTTCAACCTAAAAAGATTAATCTAGGAATTATGATATAATAGAAAAAGAATATAGAAATATACTATTTGAAGAAAAGGCCAAAGTGATGAAACAGTTATGCTGAATACAATCGAACTAACAAACATGCCAAAGTAACAGATACGTATATCACGAAATCGTTCTGATTTTGTAGCTTCATTAAAAAATGTCGATGAACGAGTGCGATTACTAATTCAAAAGAAAGAAAGTAAGCAATTTAAATGCTATTTATTTATTTATTTCATTAAAATTTCATACAATTCTTCTCGAGTTGAAACCGTCGAATCATTGATTTCACCGTTTAGTAGTAACGACGCTTCATCTGTTATCTTTGAAACACCGAGGTCTCTTCTGGCCATACCTAATTCATTCAAATGACACTTTTTGTCTATAATGAGAAGAAAAAACGGCTAAAAACTCAAACATAATAAGATAACAACGTATATTTCATCAAAATAAACATGTATATGACAGTTTTCTTGGTATGAAAATGTTTCTTATCTTAACTTTTTTTTTCTTTTTTTCTGATTACCAAAGTTCACCTTTTAAACTAAAGACAAAACACGACTTGATCCATATCAATGATGTCATTTTGCTCAAAAAATATAGATATATTTAAAACAAAAAATTAAAATAAAATAAAATAAAAATAAGCAAATCAGACTCGACAATAAAGTTACAATCGGATTAATAAATACAAAAAAGCCATCAGACATTTGATATTCTTTGAAAATAGTAAGTTACATCAGTCATAGTTTTACGAACACTTTGTTGTTGTTGCTGTTGTTGAAAATGTCTCGGAAGAATAATACCATTACTAACTGTTGAATCAACTGATTGTCGAGAACGAAGGAGTTGAAGAGCCATTGGCGATGTTCGTATTTCTTTTAATCGTTGTTCAAAATCGGTATCACCAGGTATATAATTAAAATTAATTGCTGTTGTACGACGATCAATCGGTTTTTGTATTGTACCTTTTCTTAAATGCATTTTAACAGCAATACTACGAAATAATCGTTTCAGCTCATGACGAAATGCTTTACCCGTAATAGCATATAGAAAAAAGTTTATCTTAAAATAATTAAATTTTCTTTGTTTACTAAAATCATAATAAATTACATAGAAAAAAAAACTTACGCAATGATTCGAATATTGTAATGTTTCACATAATGGTTTAAGATAGAAGTCTGCAAATTGTTGATATTCGTGATTTTTATATAAATTTGTATATATTTGTAAACAAACCATTGGAAATGAACTTAATAAGAAAAAGAATGTTACAGCTAAAAGCATTGTTGTCAATTTTTTTGACATTGATGTCAATAATCTATTTTTATGACGTGTAATTTGTGACTGATAGATTTGTAAATTTGATGTTGAACGTCGGGCTTGAAATAAACCATGTACTATAATTAAATTCATTGTTAATAATAATATAAATGGTAAGGCAGAATAGACAGCTGCATCGATCCATGGCCATATTTGACGACTGAAAAATTCATAACGCTTATGATACGTACATTCATTTTCAATGGATAAATGATGTGTAAACAAAAATTGAATATTAATTAATGTAATACATATAACAAGAATTAAAACAGATATTCGTGCACGTCGTACTGTACATATTGAATTAGCATGAAGTGGACGTATTACAGCTATACAACGATCAGCTGACATCATACAAACAAGCCAAACACTAACATCGGCTACCGTATAAAATAAAAGTGAAAGAAATTTACAACCATATGTTGATTGTAATAATAATGACCATTGTCGATTTACTAAATAAAGCCACATTAAAGACAGACCAAGAAGTAAAACACTTGTATCAGCTATGGCTAATATTCCCATATAATAACATGTTGAAAGATGAGACATACGTCGTCGCCGCATGATTACAAATACCAGTGTATTACACACAACACCGGTTAAAGCCATGCAAGGAAAGAGTATAAAAAAGATTTGTCTAGCAAGTGTAGCCGACGGTAATGTATCTGTAGTATCATTTGACCTAAGTGTCGAATTCGCATTGAATATATGAGAAGATTCCTGATGACTGCTCATCGAACATAATATAATTCTTTCACTATGAACAAAAAATTGAAAGATAGAGAAATTAAGTTCTCTTTTTTTCCTTTAGAATTATCGTATTTTCTTCACTAGAGAAAAAGGAACCGATTTGATTAGAACTAGTTAAAGCTAACAAATGGATGAAGGACAGAAAGATGATAATGATTTAGCAAAAGAAAAAGGCTCTTAAAATATTGAGTACAAGTTTATAATGGAAGTACAGAAAACAGGAAGGACGATGTTGAATGAACGAACGAGCAATGATTATATGAATGAATAAATCGACGGGAGAAATTCTGCTTTTTGAAACCACCCGAGATCAAAATATAAAATACAAAGAAAAAAAAATGGAAGAAGCAATGACAATTCGCATCAACTTTTGTCATTTGTAACAATGCGTCTGTTTTCTTTTTCTCTTTATTTCTATTCTTGTTTTCTTTTTTCTTTTTTTTGTGTCCTTTATTTTTGATCAAACAGAAAAAAAGAAAATTTAGAACCATAGTCTAGATAGCATTCGTTTTTTTTTCTAGTATATTACCATTATGTCTTTTATTATTACTATATACACCTACACATGCAATCCAAAGAATTCCATTAACATCAGGCGATACAGAAAAAGTGCGTTACCTGAGTTTCCTCTTTTTTCAATGCCCTAAAGCTTGTCTGTTTCTTTCTTCTTCTTTGGCTTGTAAAATAGCATGATGTTTTCTGAATATTTAAATTCTTTTTTATTTCCTAAAATACATCCGATAGTGAAAAATAAAAAAGCGTTTAGACTTTGTTTTTTCTTTCTTATCTGACACTAGGATCTCTATGTTTTCGTTTTTTTTCCACATGATTTTCTCATCTATGCATTTATTGGAATATTTTCTTTCATTTTGTTTTCTCTTCATATAAGATCTAGTCAATCATAATATTTCTAGAGTCATCTCATCATCATTTTCACAATCTCTTCGATTATTTGATTGATGAAAAAAAACTGAGGACAGCCATCATAACGATTCTATTACTTATTCGTTTTGCCATTTTTCTACACTCGCTTTGAAAATCATCATTGACCGTCAACACATTAATATGCTCTTGTTCATCAGACCAAAATTAGAATTCTGATTTGATTTACAATAAAGATGAAACTATGGATGATGGAATGAAATAAGAGATTATGTTAAAAAAAAAATGAAAGAAAAAGAGAACACAGCTGGCGATAGATCTTCTGTTTCAATCTTTTGCCGCGTTTGATCAAAAGTGATTATAGAATATATAAAACAAATAATATTTTCGTCTTTTATGATTACCATGAATAGATGAAGAGACACTTTGGAAAATGAAAAAGTCTGCAATTCTAATCAACTAAACATAAAAAGTTTTGTCTCTATTTAGGTAGTCGGCACGTGTAAAAAGAAAAAAAGTTTTCAAGTGATTTTTATCATCATCAACTTCCGCTATCCGGAAAGAAAGAACAATACGGTGTGTTCATGTTTCTTAAATGCATGCGTGTGTGTGTGTGATTTCAAAGAATTTAATTCCAATGATAACTGCAAGTAAAAGTGTGTATGCGGCACTTTTATTCTCTTATTGAAGTGATCTTCAAATATACAATAATAATAAAGAACGATAAGCTACCTTAATAACTCGACCTTCATCTTCTCTTTCTTTCTTTCTCTCTCTCTCTCTCTTTAGAGAGCAATTAGATTGTACATAGTAAGCCATACAATGATTGGTTTATAAGAAGAACAAGAGAAGAAGAAAAAAAGTGGAAAAAAAAGGAAAACTATGATCGTTTACCATCATTTATCAATCGCTTTGTTTCCAAGTTAAATCATGAAACGAATTAATACATATGAAAGTGGTGGTGATTCTGATGATGAGTTTATCGAGTACGTATTCTTACTTTAAAAAAGACGTTTTTTCTTCTTTATTTCGCGGAAATAACTGTCACTTTAGGGTTTTTTTTGAATACTATCCTTAGAAGAAAAAAAAAAATAATAAAAATTAATTATAGATTAAAAAACGGACCTATCCAATAAGGAACTCTTTTGATATTGAAGAATATGAAAATTATGTTGTTTTGTAAAAAAAAATAGAAAAGGTGTGAACAGGAAAGAGAATACTATGTCTGTAAATAAACGAGTAAGTACGAAACGGAAACTAATGAAAAGTTTTTTTTTGTTTTATTCCTACTAAAAATATGTTTTTATTTGAGGAATATTCAAGTACTGAGAAATAAGAAGTCATTCTCAATTCACACCCACACAATTTCATGATTGCTAAAAAGAAATACGACATTAACACTATTGTTTTCTACTCTCACATTGATATTCATTAACAAATTTACGCATATTAAGATATGAGTATGAAAATTATGACAAAAAAAGCTTTTATGAATGACAGAACTATGAAAAAACTAATTACTAATTATTGTTTTCTCCGCCAATAAATTATTATACGTCTATTGAGAGTTTTTCTACAGTTTAGCAATTCATATATTTCAAACAGTTTTGTTTGGATTTAGTTCAAGTTTAAGCCCCAGAGATTATGAATATGAACATGTAACTAATCGAAAAAAACGTCGTGGTGTTATTGAAAAACGTCGTCGTGATCGAATAAATCATTGTCTTATGGAGTTACGAAGACTTGTACCACAAGCTATATCAAAAGAAGGTTCAACAAAACTTGAAAAAGCTGAAATTTTACAAATGACTGTTGATCATCTTCGTTCATTACAACAAATCAATAAAGGTATTGTTGACTCATTTTCTTCATTTAAAATGATAGTCTTTTATTCTTATTTTTATATTTGTTAATAGATTCCAATAATCCTTGTCCATCATGGCCAGTATTTGATGCACATGCAAGTGGATTTCGTGAATGTATTGATGAAATATCTCGTTATTTAATCTCAGTTGAAGGTTTTGATGTTCAACATCCATTACGTTTACGTCTTTTATCACATCTTGAATGTTTTACTGAACGAAGTATAAGTCCATCATCATCACATCAATCATGGCCAATATTACATCAACAAGCACCTAGTGCTTTTGCAACACCACCTTTATCATCTTACTCATCTTCAACAATTGGATATCATCATCAAACTAATTCAAATTTTAATATGCATCATTATCAACGACCACCTATTGAGTCATCTTGTCAATTGCCACCGCCACTGCCACCACCACCATCTTCATCATGTATTTAATTAATTCTTTTTTTTTTTCGTTAAAAACATACTTTCTGTTTTTTTTCTCCACTGTTTATGTATTATGTGTGAAGTATTAAGTGCTATAAAAATTGCTCACTAGAGATTCATTTTCTCTTGTGTGTCAGTGTGTTTTTTTTGTTTTAAGCCGATATCAGATTATCATTAGTCATAAAAAAAAGAAAAGAAAAAGAAATAATGTGTGTTTATAGAGAAATAGATGCAAATGTGTATGTTTGTATTTTTTCTAGAAGCTAATTAGATGATGAGAATGGAAGAAAATTAGAACAATATGTATACAGATGGTTTATTATCCATTTATACAAGAGCACTTATGTTGAATTTATCAAATGGAAAGATATAATCGGATATTTTCAGATGACATAAAATAAAATAAAATAAAAGAATAGATTAAGTTTGATTGTAAAAGTAAAGAAAGTTTTGTCATGTTTTTCTCAACATTGTATAATGAATTTTAATATTAATGAGGAAAACATTCCATATGTTCGATGGTGAATCAGTTTATAAGCAGATTTGTTATTATTGAGTTCAGAAAAATATACGAATATTGATAGATGATTATTCTAATTCAGTATTACTGCAGTAAACTGAAGAAGAAAAAAACAAAGAATATATTGTCTTTGTACTCAAAGACCATATGTATAGGAATGAAACCACATTATGTAGATGGTAAACAGATATTTTCTAGTACTTGAAATATGAATTTAAATAACGTTTGAAAATTGGAGAGTCTTCTTATAAATGATTGGTTATGTTGCATGAGTATCTTTAAATGAGTGATCTCTCGAAATAATAAATGTTGCTCGACATAGAAAACCAATAATTCTATTCATTGATATCAAAACTACTTTGCAAGAATTAATAAGAAATATTCCGAAAAAATTATATAATTTGTATTTAAATAATGTTTAATCCTAAGAGGAAAAGACTTTGACGCCATTTTCAAGAGTTTCTTATGTCTACCGGAAAAGTCTTAAGTCAATGCGACGTATTCTTGAATAAAAAAACTCAGCTTCACCTTGTTGATGTCGCATATTCATTTACAGTAATATATTATTCATATAATCATAAGATTAGATGTTCTTTTTTTTCTAATGTTTCAATTTTAATCATAATCCTTAGATTAAGAAAAAAATTCTTGTTGACAAATAACTCTTCTTATTTTTTATTGTCATATATTTTGTTGCCGTAACATGTAAAACAAACACTTGAAATCTGAGCAACAATGTTAGACATGAATGTATGAATATGTTGAATGATTAAATCCAGATTAATGAGGAAAAAAAAAACTTTTCTTTCTTTATATTTTCGTTTAATAGCTTCGTCCGAATAAAGTATAAAATTTTGCTGGACTTTTACAATCCGGATGACAACATTGTTGATTTTTAGCAAGTTTTTCCGGTTGATCAAATGGTATACATAAACCTTTAGCACCCATGGCTGGTGCACCTTCTTCGACAACAGCATCACTAAATAAATTTTTAAATTAAACAAAAAGAAAAAAAGAAAATTTTCTTTTCTTACCGTGCACTATCTTTTTTAATTAGATCTTCACATGCTGGTTCACCACAGAATGGTGCCAACATTATACATGAATTGTCAAGACCCATTAAGAAACTAGCCCAATCTTTAACAAGTATGGTATGACTGTCAAATTCATCTTTAGCTCTAGAAAAGAATATTTTTTTGTTAGTGTAAATCAATACAAAGAAATCTTTGTTTTTTTTTTCTTCTATTACTTTTTATATAAATCATTATGCATTTGATTGAGCATTTCATGTAATTTTGTTTCATTGTTATCAATTGGTATTGTTGACTTAGCTCCTGTATGTCGAAGTACAACTGTTAATTGTGAACGTGCTTTATCTTTTGGACCAATTTCAATACGAATTGGAACACCTAGAAATAAATAAATCTAAAAAATTCGTTTGTATAAAAGTGAAAAACGATTTTAACCTTTCATTTCCCAATGATTAAATTTCCATCCTGGTGAATAATTGTCTCTGTAATCACCATATACACGTAATCCAGCCTTTTTCAATCTTGCTTCAACTTCTTTACATGTATTAATTATTGCATCTTCATCTTCTTTAGATAATGATGCTGTTATACCACATGGAACAATAACAAGCTAAACAGAAAAAATATTTTTTATTTATATTGAATTACTTCGAAGTTAAGTGGGCTATATATGTAGTACTAAGAGTGCTCTGTGTGTTATGAAAAATTTTGGATGACCCAGATGAAGATATACAGGTCGTTTCCCGTCGAAAATTCACTGCTCCGAGCGTTGAAACTATTGATCTGAGAAAAACTATGTATCCTAATTTTTCAATGAATTAGGAAAATTTTCGTTTCGACATTAAAGTGAGTACTGCGCTTAACATTCAATTGAAATCATTCTCGGTTTTCAGCAATCATTGTTGACCTAATTATCTCTGATCATTTGATGCTAAAAAAATGACGTGTTCCCTGAGTGCCTAACTTGCTGACTGATATTCAATGAGCCGAACAGGAACAGCTTTGTCAAGAAAAGTTAGCAAGATTTCAGCAAGGAACATGGCGATTACATGATGTAGTGACAAGTCATGGTTTGATCATAGAAAAATTAGTCAAAAATAATTGAATGCTATCTGAAAACCAATTAGAAGAACTCTATTTACTACAGTTCGACGGAGTCGGTATGCTTCGAAAAACTCTGTTTTACATTTTGTTTTTACAACAACTGGTGCTATATTGACTCATTAGATTGATCCAGAGGAGAGCATCGATTAGCACTATTATATCGATGATTGCTTGGAATATGTTATCTTAAAATAAAAGACTAACATCTGGTGCATATATTAGAAAGCTTCATCACGACAACGTCAAACCACATGTGTGCAAAGATATTTCAAATCATGTCAACTCGGAAGGTATAACAATTACTCGACAATTGCCAAATTCTTTTTACAAAGATGCTTATGAAAAAAGAAACTTTCGATCAATTACACAAACAAATCCAATTGTATGTAAATAATCAAGACTACTATTTTGTACATTTAATGCAAAAAAAAAAGGTCTGCAATAACTCGTTTTCAGAGTATTGGTTCTTTTTCTGGAAAATAAAAAACAGAAATTATTTATACATACTTGATATTTAGCTATACGTGGTGGTAAAACTAAACCTTGATTATCACCATGTATCATTGTCATAACACCAATTGTTCGTGTAGTTAAACCCCATGAATTTTGATAAACATATTGTTTAGCTTGTGTTTGTGGATCTTCAAATGTGATATCAAACATTTTCGAAAAATTTTGTCCTAAATGATGTGATGTTGCTGCCTTAAAAAGTACAATTTAATTATTTCAAAAATAAATTTAAAAATAAAATTTTTACTTGAATTCCTCTTCCACTAGCTGCAATATAGCCTTCAATTGTTGTGGTCCAATCAGCACCAGCAAATTTTTCTTTTTCTGTTTTACGTCCTTTAATAACTGGTATAGCAAGTAAATCCGTATAAACTCTTGCATATAAATCAAGAATTTGATAAACTTCTTCCGAAGCTTCTTTTTCTGTAGCCCATGCTGTATGACCTTCTTGCCAAAGAAATTCTCGTGTACGAAGAAATGGTTGTGGATTTTTAAATTCCCATCGCTAGAAAATTTTCAAATAGAAACAAAATGTTTTTTTTTTTTTGTTATTTAATTTAAACATACAACAACATTATTCCATTGATTTAATTTTAATGGAAGATCACGATGTGATTGAATCCATTTTGCATATGCTGGATACATAATTGTTTCACTTGTTGGACGTACAGCAATTGGTTGAGCTAATTCACTATCACCTGATTTGGTTACCCAAGCAACCTTAAAAAAGAAAAGAATTGTTTTTTTTTGCTTTTTTATTAATTTAATTTAAATTTTTCATACTTCCGGCGAAAAATCAGCAATATGAGTTTTTTCACGAAAAAGTGCATTATGAGAAACAAACAATGGAAAATAACAATTTTGTACTCCCATTTCAGATATTTCAGCATCGATATAAGCTTTTATTTGTTCCCAAAGAAAATAAGCCCATGGACGAAGTATATAACATCCCGATACATCATAATTTTCAATCAATTCACCTTTACGAACAACCTACAAAAGAAAAATTTTATTTGAAAAAAAAATTTGCTTTTTAGTTTCACTTACTTGTCCATACCAATGAGCAAGATCTTCTTCTTTTTTAAATTCAATGCCAAGTCTAGAAAACGATTGTTCAACTCTTTGTTTTCTTTTTCTTTTTATTATAAAACTTACTTTGTCTCTTTTTTTAAATCAGTATGAGCAGATGCTGAGTTTTGTTCATGTTCAGACTTTTTTGCTGCTGGTTTTTTTTCTTTTTCTTTTCGTGGTGCTGCAGTACCACTTGATGGAGCGTCAGTACCTGTTAATGTTTTATATTGCTCCTTTAATTTTTTTAATTGTTCAACAGCAACTGTAATTTCTTCCTTGAATAGAAAAACAGCATAATTATTAAAAATAATATTGCTATTCTTTTCCCATGACATACTTTGCTACTATTAGGATTACTTTTCAAATCACGAACAAGATTACCTTGTTCATCTATACGAGATTTTAAAGTTTCGCTATCGAGATTTTCTTTGGAGGTCATCCTTTTAGATAATGCAAAGTGATATTGATCGGTGACGTGTTTATATAGTCCTATTATTATGAACCAATAATTTTTTTTATCTTATTTTAAACCTTTCTATGAGTATGAGTAGTCATCGTCGGTAGAGATCGCTAACTCTCGGAAATTAGTTTTATTATTATTTGACTCACTTTTGGTGTCGATTTATTTGCTTTAAGATCGCGAACTTTATCTCCTTGTTGAGTTATTTTTTCAACTAGTTTTTCAGCTTCATTCGATGTTGAATCAACTGCCGGTTTTTTAGTTTCTTTTTGTGCTGTTGCTGATGCATTCGATGGTTTATATTCAGTACCTG